TCCAGATCAAGTCAATTTAAGCTGTGAATAAAGTCTATTACGGAAATTGGAATTTTTTTAAACGGTCAAATATAATTACTTCTAAATGGCTTTTCACTAGGTTTTTGAAAGTTTGATATTTGTAATTTACTGTATTGGTTTCATATCTATTAACTTTCTGAATTTTTTTTTTTTGTGGTTTTTGAGAAAATTGATATCGATGTAGTCATTTTTCTGTTGATTCTAAGAAAAGAAAAATATCCTTAAATATATTTTGCAATTTCCAATTTTATTTACTTAGTTTTAATTTTTTAATTCATTTTAAACGAAAATTACAGTACAAGCAAAATTTGTTTTTCAAAAATCAAACTTGAAAAGGACACCCATCTTTAAAAGTGGCCTGAACAAATTATAATTTCTTTGAAAACTTAGATAATATGAAAACAACATACTCCATAATAGACTGTACAATTAAAACTCAACAGCTGAAAAAAGGCTGGAATATTTAGCAGTAATAAAACCAGGAAATGCCATACATGCAACTGTTTCACAACACATAATTAACTTTCATTTAAAGGCATGGTGACTGTATGACTTAACATGGCCTCAATAATAAGTTGAATGTCATTTCCTTCTCTCCTGGGGCCTTATTCTAGAAAACTTAACTTTTCTATTGCAATCATATGGTCGGTCCATCATTTTTAAAATTTTGTTTCATTCTCGAATCAAATTACTGTATTTCTTAAAATCCAGAATTTTATCTTATATAAGTTTTAGAGAGTAAGGCCTCCAGGTCATTAATCAATAGCATTCCCTGTGAATATTTTCCCCAATTTGAAAGATACCCACCATAGGAAAAACTATTCAATTAATTATACATTTGAAGCATTTGCATTAAGGCATTTAGAGGAAACAAATATGGCCTTCATGACAACTCTTTGGCTTGATAATTCTTTTGACTTTATTTGTTATGAATTTACATACATAAGTTTGAGAATATACAAACACAAGTTTGAGAATTTACAATCATAAGTTTGAGAATATACAAACATAAGTTCAAGAATTTACAATCATAAGTTTGAGAATATACAAACATAAGTTTGAGAATATACAAACATAAGTTTGAGAATTTACAAACATAAGTTTGAGAATTTACAAACAGAGAATTTACAATTTTATAAATGTATGATTTTTTTAACTCTTGGTGAGCATAATGACTCTTGGTCGACATGTTTCAATACCTATCACAAGAGAATCTCCACAGACTGAGCCACATTAACAGACCTCACAATACCAGAACCTCTATAATAACCATTGATTTTCTGATCTCACTTGAACACCACAACACTTGAAACCATTGATTTCAAATATAGTGTTTATTGATAAGTAAATCATTTTATCATTAAACATTGAATACAAAGACACTTAGTATTTACAGTTTTACGACTTTAGTCCATGGTACTATTTATTAGTAAGAGATTTTTAAGTAGATTCGGTCTGATTTATATTCTATTTCACTGTTAACAGAAGTCTTGTATTAATGTCACTCATTAACCCTCATTAAACTTTTATGGACTATAAATAACTTGAAAATGTAGGGGAGAGAATTCACTTCAACTGTTGAGTGTGTCTGCTTCTAATCTTCCAGATTTATTGGTTCTCCACTAAAACCTTTCAATAGTCAAATAAAAATAGTTTACGCTTAAGTACTTGACAATTGAGACTATAATAGATCTATCATTTTGCATATTCATTAACCTTTTTTGGGAAACTTGATAAAAGAGTCTATAGACGAAAGAATCGTTGACAAGTCTTTCAAAGTAAGAATACAGTATATAGATAGTTTACAACATCAGTTTCCTATGCAAATAAACAAGGGAAAAGGAAATGGCTTACATATGACCACACAGACATAGTCAAACACCCCACAAATTAAGTTCAAAGACACTCTGAATGTTAATATATATGTCATCAACTTTACAATTAGATTTTGTTTATTTATTAAAGGGTCTTGGTCATTTTGTTTATTTTTTCTAAAGGACATCTTTTATAAATATAATCATAAAGTTCAAACAGACTATAGAAATTTATTATTCTATGGCCACCTTTTCTCCAATTAATCTGTTTATGTGTTTAGATTAAAGAGTCATGTCCACACAGATCAAAACTACCAGTTTTAATTAAAGTAACCTGCACATGATAAATATTAGTCAATGATAGTTTATTTTGGTATTTGATCTTCAAGTGTAATTATTTTTCTTCAATACTGCATACTAATAACATGTGCAATACCAATTGAATGTCTTATTAGACTCTCCTTTCAAGGAGGTGTGTTTTTACCCTTGGTTCAACACAAAAATATAAACTTGAGAAATATACCTAAATATGTATAATAATTTATGAATTTGTTTTGATAAAATAATTATTTTGGATAAATTCAGATATTTGTTAAAAAATGGAAAAAAGTTTTGAAAATTTTTATTTCTGAATTTATTTATGTCCTTTGGATTCTTTATAATAGGTTCAAAAGAACTTAAACATGTCATCAAAATTTTTAAATATCAGCTGTCCAGTGACATGAAAATGAAAGTGAAACCAAGATATCAATTTAATTATATTTCAATGATTTCAACTATCTTTAAAGATTATCTTTAAATTGATCTTGAAGTTTAAAATTTTAAAATCAGCTGTCAAAAGATAGAAGAATGATATATCTTATCAATTTCAATTTGGTTGTGCTACTTTAATTTCAAGTTTGATCTTGATAAAGCCTTCTGTTTAATATATCACTTGCCTTCATCTTAAATTTGAACCCAAACCATAGGACTAGGTTTTATCAGTCAGGATCTCTAACAAATCTATAAAAGTATGAATTATCTGAAGAAACTCCACGAGATTGTCTCATAACTCATATCAGTGGTATCATAAATATCCTCAGACCTCTGACTTAGCTCCATCTCTATTTGATAAATAATTTCTTCTTAAAGCTCAGCAGGAAGAATCAGCCATCTTTGATAAAAACATCCACAAACTTCTGGTGGACACCAGTTCCAAATCTAAATAAAGATATGAATCTTTATGAGTTCCACAGTAGGCCATCGTTAAATGTACATTAAGATTAATGATTCCTAGTCAGTTTAATTGAAATTAGGTAGCTTTTTCTACAGCAAGCCATGTTTCAAAACAGCAGGCTCGCAGTCATTTGAAAGATGGCAGGCCCGCAGTAATGTCTAAACAGCATATTATTCCTAATATTTATTTAAGAACTCATTTAAAATTGACCTGTACATTCCTGAAGAGTGTTTAGTGTTGAAAGTCATTTTGTTTATGATAACATTTATTATTTCTCAGCTTGCTAGAATGCAAAACTAAATATAAACTTATTGCTGCATGGTGCTAGATATGTATAATGGACTTTGGCATGTTTTCTTTCTTAGTGCTTCTAATGTTTCTGGCTTTGTTTATCATTGCTCATATTCATACTATAACTAACTCCATTGCATCTCATTTAATTAAATGCTTGTTTTGTTTTTAGATGTGTCATTTTGTAAGCAAACATTTATCTTGCTTGAATGACCACCGTTTCAGAACCATGTTCTTATGATGTTGTTTAATTTCCATTTCAAATCATTCAGCATTTGACAAGAAAAAAAAATCTTGAAATTTGAATTTATACATGTATTGGAAATCTTTGAAAATGAAAATTAAAAATTATGGCTTCATCAACAAAAATGCTGACATATTGACAAATTTGGTGCATTCGATCTTCGGCCCAACAATGAATCTCGCCCCCTTACATCAAATCGTGCAAAGTAATAAAAGTTATTTCTAAGATCAACATTGCTTATGTCATGATCAACTTCCAGCAATAAAAATATCAAAAGCATTATTGAAATCAGTAAAGAGCTGTTGGAGATTTGATATATGAAAACTTTTTGAAAAGGAGGCAAGAAAATGAAATTGGCAGGGTATTGAATGATTTCAAGGCAATCAACATTTGACAGATTGTTCAATGCAAGCTAAATTATTTGAATAGTAGACTGGCTAGAATTTATGTGCATTCTGTTGAAAAGACATGAGAGAGATCTTGAACTGGGTACTTGACAATCAGCCTCCATTAATATAACTGATTGCTCTCTTTATGTACAGAAAGGAAAGTGGATAATTTCTATCTATGCTCATAATAACACCACCAAGTTTATTTCTATCAATATTTCAAATTTTCCTCCACGATCAATTTACTTTAGCTACATTTTTATATTGTCCGTGCCAAGATTTCTTACGGAAACACCGTCATTTATTCACCGCTAGAAATAGACTTCCATTATAACTGTTTTACAGCATTCAGTCATGATCGGTAGGGAAAAAAAAACAACCAGTTTTTAGGTTAACAAAATATTTCTGAACATCAGGTCTTCATTTTGAGAGGAAATTGGTGGCTGGTTATTCATTGAGATATTTCGAAGCCTGCAATTAGCTTTTATTGTATTAAGTTGCCTGTACAGAAATGTTCAAGGCAGTCCTGTATGATTATATCGCTGGCTATTAGACTTATGTAAGTCGAATACTAATAAAATTTTCAGTACTATTAAGACCTAATTGTATACTATTCATCACTTTGAAGAGATAATTGGCTGGAATGATCATTTCACTTGATTAGGTCTGCTACATAAGAGTTCCATTTTAGCTGGAAATTAGTCAGACAGTGAACATGTTCTTTATTAGCAATTGATAACTTATAAATCTTTTATTGGAACCATATTGATTTCATACTGGCCATTTGGAAATTTTGGTAAAAAATTTATCATCTTGCAAGAATTCCACAAAATTTTCAGGATAACCAGTCACCTAAGTTCTTAAATTTCAAATCTAAAACAATTGACATTGGCAACTCGAATTTTCGAATTTAAAAAGACTGGATGATAGACACTTCATTTACAAACAGGATTCACATTTCATTGTCATACAAAAATAGAAAAGGCTGGACAATTTGTAATGTTGATAATTTTATCTTTCAGCAGCAAGTCGTGTTGAAGATGGTGAAAATATTCCGATGTATATTGGGTTATGTGTTGCTGTAGCCGTGTTTATAACAGTGATAGTCTTGATCGTCATATTCATGAGAAGAAGAAAGGCCCGCAGTCAAGGTGTGTTTTCTAGGGAGTGTTTGAGCACAGGTGAGCTTACGTCACTGATGTTTAGCTCAAAGCACACACCTTTTTCATATTTTATTTTTAATGTTAATACATTTATGCACAATGCCCTTCCCTTTTGAAAATTAATTTATTTTGGCCATTATTATTCATATAGAAAAATACAATCCCTTATATGAAGAAATACAAAAATTGAGGCCTAAAAATATGATTAGATTAACTTCCTTACAGAAGAGCACAATTGTCAAGTGATATGAGGTGTTTTAGATTAATCAACTATGCACCCCATGATAACCTTGGTCACATCATGTTTGATAAAAACCAGAAAGATTGACAAGGAAATTTTAATAAATTATGTCAATTTCAGACACTTTATGAGAAGAAAATTTCCATCTTTTTCATATTAAACAGAACAATGAAACAAGTGACACTATTTTGTCATTTTGGGAAAACACTAGGGACAGATAATGATGATAATAAGATCATTATTAAAGCATTCTAATCAAGTTTATCTCTTATTACCCTTTTTTTACAACATTTTAATGCAGCCATCTTGTGAGTCAGACCTGTGACCCCTTGTTTCATAAACCTTTTCACTAATTTTTTCACTGCCTCTCCTATTTTACGACTTTTTAATATGAGCAATAAAATTCACTTAGAGACACGCCTGCACTAGTTTCATGTCCTTCTTCAAGCATTGCTCTTTGCTAGACTATTTTATTGCCTGGTTCATCATGTTCAAATTGTCATCTTGGGCATTTTATTGTCATAAATTGATGGGACAAAATTGGAAAATGATTTAATCACTCCCTTGTTAAGGACCAACTTGCTTAATATTGTTGCTTTCTGGAAATGAAATGTTTTCAATTTATTAAGAATTAAAAATAATTGTTGTGTTATTAATCCCAGTTCTAGTATCAATGGATTAAAACAATCACAATAAATTATCACGACCTTTATCATATTTGTCACAATAAAGACAGCAGACGACAATATTTTATTCAAAAACATTGTGTGTAAGGATTTAAAATGATTAGGAGGTCTGTTGTTTGGGACACCATTTTAACTTTTTTGATTATGATTAGGCTTATTGTAATGGTTATGAATAAATTATATCCTGCTAGAATGAGATTTTTGCGTTTGGTGGAATTTGATAAAAAAAAAAAACACACAAAAAACATTGAATGGAATTTGGATATTATTTAAAGGGATTGTAAAGAGGTTTTGTAAACTTTTTATGTGTATCAGGGACACTAATAGTATATCAACTTACACCATTTCAATTTTCAATCAGACATCTATGTTTCCTGCAATTCCATTAAAACTAAGCGTTTGATGACATTACTATTGCAAATCTGCTTATATCATATAGTGATATCTTAGTTTAGTGGATTGCAGGAACCCCAGACACCTTATTGAAAATTAGAATGGTGAAAGACAATGATAACAGTGCCCCCAATACACATGAAAACTTAAGAAAACCTCTTCACAATACCAAAAAAAAGAAAAAATAGTGAAGATTCAGTCAATACCATTTCTTAAAAGTTAGCTCCAGTCAAATTTCAATCATATTTTGTGTGAATGCAATTCAATGAAATATATGGTGAACATGTTACTGTGAAATTCAGTCTTCTACTTTATCTTGAATTGTCAGATAAAACAGTCATGGTTTATATCAAAAGTGTCAAAATTACCGATGAATGTGCGAATTTTTAGACACTTAACTTGCACTTTGTAAGGTTAATACATTTGCTGAAATTCCTAGTTACACATCTTTACCAGTCCTATCTCATAAACTGTCAAAAAATATGAATATGTTTATTTTCACAAGATAATGACAACCTTTACTGGCAAAAAAAAGTGGTAAATTCATGTTACAAATATTGTGATGCATGATAAGGAATTGAGAGGGAGCTTCCACTTACAAATTTATTCCCTAACCTTAACAAAAATGTGGAACTTTACTGCTAGTAGATCACAAAAAAAAGAATTCAAATTTAAATGCAAATCATGCTGTGTGCAATGAGATCAGCATTCTTCCCTTTTTTGATTTTCTGCTCAGAAACAAAATGAGTTTTACATCCTACTTATTTGCACCTAATGGACTAATGAAGACAGGCCATGCAGTGTGAAATGAGGGAAATGTTGCCAGGATATTGGCATTAGCCCACTATTTTCATTTGCTCTGAGATCTTATCAATGTAGTTACTCTTCAAATCAAATTCTCGTGAGGTCAAATTGTTGAGTTATGGAATATGACAGAGAGATAAGAAAATAGAGCTGAAAAAACCAAATCTATTTAGGTTTTAATTAGTTTAAAACTACAAAAGATAATAGACACTCTAATGGTTTAAGTTGAACACAAAACTGATATGAAACTCAAGTATGCAAGTTATTTGCCAGCTCATAATTAAGTTAAGAAAAATAGAAAATGGAGCGTGTTCTGTTTAAAAGTCAGACTCGTTTATTTTAATTTAATTCACATTTTAATTTGATTCATTCGCGTACAATATCTGAAGTTTTTTTCTTAAGAGGCAAAAGTTAGTAAAATTTCCTTGTTGTTTAAGTTATGATTTACTGCCATCTCGAAAAGCTATTACCATCACCCGTGTAAGTTATAAAGGTTGGATCATAACTGGCGACTTTTGGTGGTGTGTTTTTGTAAGAACTCTAATTAAATTATTGTTTGAAATTGGTATGCATCTTGAGAAAGATTAAAGAGGAACTTTGAAGTAGATGAGTAACAAAGTAGACCATTATGCGGCACCAAGGCAGAAACTTAATGATATTATTATAAAGATACTTTGTCATGTTTTTATTTTTGAAATTTGATTTATTTCCAGATTCCACAGTTAACTCAATAACAGAAGAAGAAAAGAAAATCACCAAAAATGGAGGTATGTAGGGTCATCCTAATTTGAATTTTTTTATAACTTAATGCAAACATCAAATAATTATTAAGGATGTGGTATCCATCCAACTTACATGGTCATCATCTCACATATACACATCCAAAATTTTGAATGCAATGTGAGAACATATATGCAATCTCCTGCAGTGCTGCTGAAAAAGGGTAGATTCAAATAATAAGGAATCCTTCAATGCAATTCCCTGCAGTGCTACTCAAAAAGGGCAGATTCAAAAAATAAAGAGTCCTTCAACTTTTACAAAAACAGATAGGTTTTTCTTTTACATTTATCAAAATAAGCAGATACACTCAAAACGAGCAGACAACGAGCAGACGCAAAAACCATAGAGTCCTATAACCTTTCACATAAACATATAAAAGTATATGATGTCATGGAGGTTTACACCTGTGACTGGTGAAGTATTTTCATTGCCTTTGTGTGAAATGAGTGGCTGGAAAGTTAGTAATTTTTTGTATATATTTAAAAAACATATGTTGGTAGTATGTAAGCCATTTTGTCCTCATTCAACATGGTAACCTTTGACATCCTGCAGGCATCTGTAAGGCTTTGATTGAAGAGTTCCAAGGAGTTATCTTACTGGCATGCTGGGAAAACAAGACATGAAAAATGATTTAGCGACCTTAAAATGTACGAGTAAGGTTTTGACATAGGTTTGATGGTGTCTTGTGGCTATGATATTACAATGTTTACAAAATGTTCTCAGGTTTTCCTGTTGAAAATAGTAATTAAGTGTATCTTCTTGGAGTGAAAAATGTTTGCTCCTGCACAACCATTAGTCACAATTGCAGACCAAGATTTGCAGAGCACTAGATTCTCAAAAGTAGTTTTCTCTAAATTCTAGTGTAGCTGTCAAAAATTCCATTTCATGTCTTCATTTGCAAAAGGTGAAATTGTAAATAGGATTAATTTATCCAATTCATACCTTTTTGCTAGGCAATGCTTGTACTTCAAAAACACCTGATGCCACTTTTTGACTAAGTTTGTGTACTTGTCATCCATTTATAAGTATAAATAATAAAAATGGTTTATTGATATCCATCCAAAATTCATCTCCATTTTTTTTCCTATAAATGGGTGTGGTGCTACTTATTTTCGAGTTGAACCCCACAATAGCAGATACAACCGACCACATGGGGTATTAATGATACTTTGAAAACAAGCAAGTAAAAGCCAAGATAATTATCAATACAGAATCATTAAACCTATGTTCAACATATGTAGGCTAATATTATTATGATGACAATTCCATACTTCCCAATATATTCTGTGTCTGCTTTCTTTCTCATCTGGCACTAGTTCCTGATAGAATCTTATCCAAATCAGTTGGGATATTTGTTATTACTTGTTTATCCAAAACATATTAACTGACTTCTACACCCTTGTATTACCATTTTACACATTGTTTAAATCTGGCTTTTACCAATCATTGATTCTGCTTCACTGAAAATTACAGCCATCAACCGTATTTTCTTACACCAAATTTTTTATTTGTTTAAGAAATGGAACCCTGTTTTTATGTAGGAATAATAGAGTCAGGGATATATGGGTTGACCTGTTTTGTTTATGTTTTAGAATTGACATTTGAGCACCCTATTGTCTTTGTTCTTCTGGATTTCATATACCACTAAATTTTCGTAGGGGCTCAGTTCTGTTTATTTAATAGTTTCATTTCTAATAAAATAAACAAAAAAACTCATTGGTCTAAACAAGTATTCGAAGGAAAAATTCTTAAACATATTTTTTTTGTGGACTCTCTAAAATACAATATATTGAAAAAAAAAAGATATTTAAAGGGATTGTAAAGAAGTTTTCTAAAAAAATTATGTGTATCAGTCAGGGACACTGATAACATCATTTTGCACCATTTCAATTTTCTAAATTCAAAGATATCATGGGTAACCGCTTGAAACCTTGTATAACGATATATGACGCGGAATGATTTTTCGAGAAAAACTATTTGAACTCGTATTTTGTTAAAATCTTGTTTATTATTTATTTTTTCTGCTATATGTGGTTTTCATTCTTTGAAAATATAAACCTCGTATAACATATGACTGTTTATATACGTGTTATTTAATTAGTGGTTTTTGAGTTATTTACAATCAAGCTAAGAATACGAGGTTTTGATCACAAGATCTGGGCTTTTACAAGCTTTCGAATGGTACCAAAAAGTCAAAATGACCAAATATGGCATAAACGAGGTTTCAAGCGGTCACCCACGATATGCAAATATATTGTAAAAATTTGGATATACAAATGTTATGCATGTATGCAATATGTTGGTATATAATGGATGTGGATATATTGCCATAATAGTGCAGAACATACACTTACAAAATCTTGTCACATGTTAAATCTACTAAGAACACATCTGGACAAGAATATAAGTTTATAAAAACCATTATACATCTTGTTTTGTGCTCACCATGTGTAATATAGATGTTATCGTAATATGTATATAGTTTCAAATGATAAAAATCTTGCTCGGGGAATGTAAAAACACTTTCAGCCTTGGAGACAAAGGCATTAAAAATATCATACACATTTTTATCTGGTGTTTGAACACAGGAGAATTGGTTGCATCAGTTCCAAACTGTTCCTGAAATTGATTTGCCATTCTATGAATGTGAAATGAGTTGTTGAGCAGGTCAAGTAATCGTTTTAAAGAGGCCTTATCATTTAGAGAATTTTTTTATTAAAGGAAAATAAAATCACATAAAATTGTCCCAGGTGTAGTATATGCACCAAGACATATTTTGGTTATATTGAATATAACTGTATATTCATGTGTCATTCATTTTCTTACTGAAAAACCAAAAAGATTTTCCAAGAATAATACTAAGATTAATTAAACTGTTTTTTGTGACTGTTTTCTCCAAGAGTGATGAATTTTTATGATTAAGATAATGATCAAAATTCAAATGGACTAGCTCCTTTAATGTTACAAGAAATACCATCAAATACCATTCTATTGGAGGTTAAGAGTAGTTGACTTACATAATGATGGCAGGAAATGTCAAACTTATCAGAAACATCTTATATTCCTGGTAATCTATTTTCTCTGATTCATACTCTAAGACTTTTTACCATTATTCCTTCTCCTGCTATTTCTAATTGAATTAGTCTTTGAGGCTGTGGTCTGACTTGCAGGACTGATTCCATACCATTTTCATTGCCAGATATTGTAGTGAATTTATTTTTGCCATATCAGTCAAGATTCAACTGTGAAATAGCAGACGTCAATTTCACAACTGTCTCGTAAAAAATGGCCACCTTAAGAATATTATTGCATTCCATGAAAAGTACATGGATTTGGTGACCACCTTCTAAAATGTTCATTCATTATATTAAAGAGATACATTAGATGAAGCCAATTTGAAGCTCGAGTTACTCAATAAAAAATAGCCAAAACAAGATGATCTAGAATCTATTCAACTGCAAAATGGCAGACGCCAATTTCGTTACTCTCAAGATAATTACCGCTTTTAGAGAGACAAATTATACCCTTCAAATGGCTCTGTTTAAATCTAATGAAAAGAAACATTCATATTAATAATATGTTTGAAATGCAGAAATTAAGTTAGCTATGGCTGCATTCTGGCGCATTCGATACACAATTATCGTGAATCAAACTAGACCGCTAGGGTTAAAGAGAGGTGGGATGATAAGATGGTCCCTAATGTAATTATAAGTTAAGAGCTGTTGGGTTGGAGAATAGATTCCATCTAAAACAATAGAAAGGCAGTGTTTGTTTGATTGTAGGATACAAGTGAGATAAGAGGACTGATTACTACTGTCAAATTGAATGTATTTACAGATCTGTCAGAACTACTGCATTGTAATCTGAAAACTCTGACTTCTATAAGATCAAATCCTAAATTATAGATTGTCCAAAAATTAGTGATCTTTGCCCAACATGGTACATGTGCCTGTGCTTTCCAAAATTTGCTTTACACCCTAAAATTCCTAGCTAGTATGAGTCCCCGACCATATGGAACTTATTGTCATTCAACAAGAAAGTGGGAAATATACACAATAAAATCTAGATTTCTGGACTTTTTGCCTTGCCTTCATTTACTTATTGATTTTAGATTGCTGCTTCAAACAAATTGGAGATATGCAAAAGCAAAATTGTTTATGTAAATAACTTGTTTCAATTTTCAAATCGTTCTGCAGTCTGTAGCAAATGCGGCATGTTTTGAAATTGCTTTGAATAGCTTAATAGGCCAGAAGATATCAAACTATTCCAGCTAACAGCTAGTTGTAAAGTGATTAAAACTTGATTTAAGACTAGAGTAAATTAGATAGTCTACCTTGACGGTTTGTTTTGTTGTCTTGATACCGATTGAAATTGTCCAGACCTTACCAGAACTCTTCTCTTATTATCCACATCTGTCAAACTCACAGTCAATTTACTGATACAAATTTGGTGAAAGATTACATTGCTGCAGCAGTTCTGCTTATCATTGTATCAGTCAGAGAATAGCACCAGGTTTATTTTACTTAGATTAATGTAGAATGATTCTGATAAGAAAATGGCTGAATAATATTTTAATGGATGCCACCCAATGATACATTTGAATTTACATTTCTAGAATAAAGGAGTGTTTCCATTTGTTGCAGACGGCTAATTTGCTGCAGGAGACTTTTTTGCTGCGAGGCAATTATTAGATCAAACAAAGTATAAAAAGTATTCTGCAGTTAATTTGGCATCCCCAATCTGTGTAACTTTGCAATGGAAAACTACTTAAGTTAAAAATTGCAATCTCATAATTGCCCCCAAAAAAGCTAATTTGAATATGAATACGATTCCCAGAGCGAGGAAAAAATCAAGAATGAACCATGTTTTTAGGTCTGGGTTTTATGCCACCCAAATATTAAAGTTATTGTCTTTGGTACCTTATCACCATTAATCTGGATTTGATTACATCTAATAATGAATATAACATGGTAAGGCATGGAACAACAAAAAACATCAGAGAAAAACCAGCGCAAAATACCCAGTCACAAAACATATGTCATAAAGCCGTTGTAATGTAGAAAACATTTGTCTTATGTTTGATTAACACAATAGATAATTAGACCGTATGTTTGCACATGTAATTTCTGTAATGTTTTTTACATTACCAAGTTACATGCTTTGCATTCATTCTTGAATCATTCCTTTATTTTCCCATCACCATTTTTTCATTCTCTCATTCTTTTATTTCCTTACAAACGTTTTATTGGCTTTTATCCCTCATTCACTTTTTTACATTCAGCCATTTTTCTTTCTCTTGCAAAATTTTGTTCATTCCTCAATGTTATCATTTACGTCTTAGACTTTTTCAAGTAACCATTTTTTTGGTTTTTCTTTCAGAATTGATGTCAATGCAACCTGATTTGACCGTGGTAACAGTTCAACATGCCCTACCAGTGGATTCACCCAACAACAACCACATGATGGACAAACAACCCTTGTATGATGTACCAGACATCAATGCCCACCATCGTTTATCTGGAACTCTTCCCAAAAACAGTAAAATGATGTTAGTGGAACCAACAATCAATCATAACCTCAGTTCCTCTTTAGAACACTTATCAGTTTGTGACAATAAAAATTCATTACTGGTTCCAACAGATATCAGACTAGCGGAAACAGATCACTTACAAGACAGTCGACAGTCTATGATATCAGTCCAGTTACCAAGTACAGTAGATGCTGATGGTGTTACTTGGAGTACATTTGACAGTTGTGGAGGTCGTCTTGTTTTACCAGAATCAGGTTTGTATTTTTTTAATGCTGAATTGACATGATAGGTTCATTCTTTGTCATTCAATTTTGGATGATCCAGGATAGCATTGAACTCATTTGATAACTGTAGAGCCCTTGTAGTTGTCCAGAAAATAGAGCCCAATTAACAGTCTGTTTTTTTCTTGTGGGATTTATGAATTAAATTTTCAATATATGGCATATTTTAAACCTTAAAGAATGTTCAAGTCAAATGTACCTAATGACATTCACCATCCAGTTTTGTTGAAAGATTATAGTCCAATTTTGGCACATACTTAGATAAAGAATTTTGATCTGAATGAAATACCAAAAAGTCTTTCAAAGACCATCTTGTGTGGCTCATCTTCACAATAGAACCTCCAAGTTTCTAGCACCAAACTGGAAATAAGTTCATCATAGCTACATAGTTCTACGCCTTATCTTGATTAACTTTAGATTCCAAATAATGACAGACATAAAATAAAGAAAGATAAAAGCTTTTGAGAATTGATATTGCTCTCACAATGATAACATCTCTGAGTACACTCAGCTCCATGCCATGAAATTCTTAGTTCCACAGAGAAGCCAAACTGTCTGATAAAAACCTACACATGTCATGAAAACATCAGTTAACTGTCATCCAAACTTCCTCCTTTCAATTACTGGTATGCATAAATTGACAGTGGAATAGTCTGCTGTACTATACTGTAGTTAAAGGAGCATTGTCCGCTGTTTTAAGTTGATCATGGAACAAATCATGATTTGACTTACAGGCTAAGAAACATTCGACTTTGATATCATACTTATATTACAATCTGTCCATCATGACAAAATATTTCATCATCGCTATGGCTACTCTGTTAATTCTCAAAAACAAACATAACTTAATATGATATATTGTCCAAAGAATGGTTATTTTTAAGGATCTTTTGGGTTTGTCACTTATAAACTATGAACAGCTCATGGTCATGTATATCACAATTTTCGTGAATGCTTTTTCATGAAACTTTATTATTCAAAAGGAAATCAGCTATCTGCTATTAATATTGCCTCCAAACTCTGTAATTCAAGACTAGACTCCTTTATCCAGTGTATAGTAAATGTTGACTAGTTTTCTGCATGAATTGACAAAGTGATGGATATATGGTGAAGGTTAGAGTCAACTTGAGGATTGTTGGCTTGCTAGATTTAATCATTCCATTCCCATTCATTTTACTTGTCTCTTAATCTCTAATTTACTTTTCAATTAGAATAAGAATAACAGGCAGATCACCGACTCCATGTTAGGTCTTTAAAAACTCTTAACTAGTCTGTACCTAGAAGAACTTTGACTCCACGTTTCCCCTTGAAATGTTAGTAGTCTGTATCCAGCAGATCTCAGATTCCATGGTAGTCATTAGATACTAATAAAATAGTTGATGTTGGATACAATATGATTGGAAAATCTATTAAGGAATTCCATGTTATTGTACTCATGTATTTTCATATTCATGACATATGTCTGACTGAATGTCTGATATGAAAAGTGGCTCAGACTTGCTTTTGACTCATTGTATGGCTGTGATGAAAACAGCCGTCTTTTTTTTTATTAACAGCCTGTGACCCATCACATTCATCTGTGACCCATACTGTCATGTGGACAAATTCTGCTATATTTTGATCTGTGACCTGTCCTATTTGACACATGGGTAACCCATCACATCTATATGTGACCCATCATATTCATCTATGACCCATACTCTCATGTGGACAAATCATTCTATCTTTCATAACAATCTGTGACCTTTCCTATTGGACTCATTGGTGACCCATCACATCCATATGTGACCCATCATATTCATCTGTGACCTGTCCTATTTGACTTATTAGTGACCAATCCTTGACCAATACAAACATATATTGGCATCACTATTCCTCATTCCTACCAGTATTGATTCTACATGTACCTGACTATGAGGTGTACCCTTTTCTTGGACCCATATCCTGTCAACCATTTATGACCGAATTTTTTATATTACAGGAGTAAGTCTGTTAATACCTGAAGGTGCTATCAAAGAAGGTCATGTAGAAGAAATTTATTTAGCTATATGTAGAGATGATAAAGATAGACCAAGGTTAAATGGTAAGAATTAATTAGTAACTTAACTCATTTTAAGCTATGCTACTTATGAACTGAATAATGCATAGTTCTTTAAATTCAAGCCCCGATGGCAGGTTAACATAGGCTGTTCATAAGCAGTTTCATGAATGATATTACACATTTTTATAATGGAACTCAGTGTTATAAAAATATCAGTCATTTCAATTTGCATCAAAAGTATTGTCATCTCTATCCACTTAAAATACCCCTACACCATCAGAGTTTAGTACCAGTGAACTTATTTTGATTGATTTAAAGATAATACTGCAGCTGTCCTAGCCAGTAAAAAAATACTTTCTTACTTTGATCTGATAAGAGGTTTTTAAGAAGGAAATGGTTTGGAAGTCAATAAATTCTAAGTTGTTATCAGTTGATCTTGTATTAACATTGCTTGTGTGATGTGCAGGTCATCAAATACAGCCCTTGTGTAGTGTAGGTAATCAAATACAGCCCAAACTTTAATTTGCTCACATTTATATCAATTAGATGATCGTTAAGCGTGCAATGTCTGGTCAAAGATTCAATTATGTCTTGTTAATGATTTTCTTATTCAATTTGTATGAAATTAACGATGTTTCTTCAATAGATGACATTAATACTTGCGAGAAGTTAGCAACTTTACTCTTTTGTTAAGATTCAAATAAATTTCAATCTTAGGAATATGAAATGCAAGAAATGCAAGTTAATTTGACTTAAATATTGCTTTTGGTTAATAAACATTAAATAGCACAGCTTGTCAAGGCTTGCTTATCCTTCTGAAACACATGATACTTTTATACAAGAATTCTATTAGTCCATGTACATAGTATAACTTTTTGCGTGGGTTATTCAACACAAACCTTTGAAAAGAGCATACTTTTGACTGATACACTTTTACAAATATTGATATATCGCATGCATGCATTCATAAATAACATAATGTTATCCTAGTGTACATACATCTTCAGTTTCTGTTGTACAACTATGTTATTGTTGTAATATACTTGAGTTACCTATTGTACTCTTTATTTTTATTGCAGATAATCAAACAATATTAAGTCCTCTACTGTTGATAGGACCACCAAGTGTGGTGTTGATGAAACCAGTCATATTATCATTTCAACATTGTGCCAGCATGAGACAAGGTGGCTGGATCTTGTCCCTATACAACAGTGATAGTCCTATTGACGAACCACCATATTGGAAAGTATGTACTTTACTTCCTTGATAACACTTGATAGTTTAGACTCCATGAATGCATTTTACATCAATTTTTATTCTTTCCTTGACTTCATATTATGCTCTTTAAGAAAACATTGTGTTGACTATCAATGACTCCATTTTGTACTTGCAGAAAAAAATGGTGAAAAGCTTGTTGCCCATGATCTGATTTCCATATTTGATTATTTTGTGCACTTTCTACTGCCCCATTTGAATTGTTATTGTAGATCCTACTTCATAATGGTTACTTTCCATTTGTCCAGACGCCAGATGATCTTTCTTAAATAAACTGTTAATGCTATATAGTTTGGTGCAATGGAGTCCATTTGCATATCACAGCAACCCGATCTAGCAAAAGTCAAATTCACAAGTGTTGACCAAATTCTTTGAAATATTCTAATTTCATCCAAATCTAAACATTATATAGATATTGTTTCATGATTTATTTTCTTTTGAGCTCCAGCAGACAGATGTGTTTAGAAATTTGACTGATTTGGGTCACTTTTGTGTCATTTGATGCCATTCTTTTTCTTTGTCTTGCAGGATTTTGTTTAGAGTAGAATTTAATGTATTTATTTGTTATGTTGTAGAAAATGGTAACATTGGGTCACGAAACCATCAATACTCCAGTTTATACCCAACTTGATCCTAATCAGTGTCACATTATGGGAGAATATTTACAACGCTATGCCATCATTGGGGAGTCTGTTCCTGGAGCAAGAGCCATCAAGATTTTACGTCTGGCTGCCTTTGCTCCTGCTGCTCCTCCTGCCATGGACTACAGTATTAGAGTGTATGTTGTAGAAGATACTCATGATGGCTTAGAGGTTTGTTCAGTTGAATTATTCTCTTTGTGGTTAACAATACTGTCATGCAATTTCTTAGTATCTTCAATTTTGGCTGAAGTTACTTGGTGCTACAGAGACCTCAACAGAAATATTATGCAGTTCCATTGAATCAACATTTATGTATACGTCTGTTTGCGAATTCAATTTTTCAGCCAAAAATTATGGGAAATGTGCAAAATAAAAATGATTTAATTTTGGATCCATCTTGTATTTTAGGGAGTGATTCAAATGGAGAAGAAGTTAGGTGGAAGATTACTAGATAAACCAAAACAAATACCATTCCAAGACTGTGGTAATAACTTATGTCTTTCTATAGAAGAACTGTCGCCTGGTTGGAGAAGTAAACTGGCTGCTAACTATCAGGTAAACTTCAAATACAACATTTCACATTAGGTTGACTTTTGTCTGGAAAAATCTCTGGAATTGCTATCTTAGTAATTTACATGGACTTTGATGTCTGATTTTATAAGGTTTGATATATACAACATCGATCTCAATTTCAAAGAGTATTACTAATCTGCAAGTCCTAAAATATCGAAGTAGAATACCATTAGCAAAGATGAAAAACCAATACGGATGCAAAAATGAAATGAATGGAGTTTAACGTCCTACTTTTTTACACCATGTGGGCTAATGAAGATGGGAATATGGATGCAAAGATAGCTAGAAAAACATATGGTGTATGAAAGTAACATATAAGTGAATACATATGCTGCATTAAGATTCAAGTATTCTTACAATATATTAGGCCAATAATATTCTTTTAATTTCTTTCTAAAACAATTTAGAATTTCATAAACAATTAAATATGAGGTGTACTTTAGATTTGATAAGTTTTTGAGTGCAGAAGTTTCCTGTTTGACCTTCCAAGTTGTTATGAATTTCTTTTTTTTTCCTCTTGAATGAAACCAGATTGTGTTGTCGAATGTATCCATTACGTTAGTTAAAGATACATTTACCTTTCAATGTAAACTTATTTATTTTCTCTTTAGTTTTGTAACTGTTGTCTAAATTTCTGATTCGTACAAACTAAGGTTGGCAGACACAATTGATGTAGTGTTGATTTTTTACAAATGCACATTCTTTTGAGTTTGCTATGAAATGTCATTTTCTTCCCTTAGAAAAATCATAAATCTTTGTCTATTTGCATAAAATGATATCATACTTTATAGCGTTGAAAAAGAGTAGGCTCATTGCACACTGCATGGTGTTCATTAGCCCAGTTAGGTGGAGAAATGTTAGAAAGTTAAATTCCATTCAATTCTAGATGAAATTTTATCATTAAAAACGTATCTTTTAAGTTTATGATTCAAAATTAATAGCCCAGATATAATGTTAAAATATCTATTTTTCTGGCAATGAAAACTGTTCAATGGACAGGAAATTGTTGGTTGAGTTCTGTCAAAACATATGTTTCAATAAAAGTGAAAGTAAATAAGCTGCATTAAATGTATGGTGAGATAAGTGGAATATTCATGAATCATTGCTAGACATTAGCCTTTTCAAATTAAAACCTTTTTGTTCACTTGTTTAAGTAATAAGGGTTGAGATGACACTGGACATTAAAAACATTAGCTATATAAGAGTTAGAAAACCAAAGTTCATTTTGCTGCCTTCATGACATTGGTTACTTGTTTCATTTGATTTGAGGTATGGTTTAACTAGTCTGCTAGTCAGCCCCGTCGTTAGGGTGGGGTCTGTAGGGGCTAGGCCCCAGAAAGTGACAATTAAGCCCCAACAAAAACCTTTTTTTCATCAAAGATTGATTCATTTACAGTGTCTTTTTACAAAACAAAAAGATAAAGCACCTAAAAATTGTCAGAAATGAGTTCTCTGGGCCTTTTATTCTTCAAATTTTCTGAGTAAAAAAAACGGAGCCCCAGTGCCAATTCATTCCTGGCGACGGATCTGCGGACCAAGACAAATTATAATGGCACAACCAAGGCTTTTGAGAGTCAAATTGACTTCTATACTCTAAATAATATCACAAGTCCCAATCGTAAAAACTCCAAAATAATAAATAAAACTCTTATGTATTTTGATAAAATAACTGCACATTTTCAAATTAAATAACAGTATAATAGAACAGCTCTTATGCTCGTGGCAATGGAGCCAACTATTCTTGACTTCATATTTGAAGAGTTTATGTGGCTAATATAAGTTTATTTGCTTAATATTATGTGAAACAGACTTGTGAAATTATTCCACAGAAGCAGACAAAATATTCAAATCGTTGATGCAGAAACAATTTGATTGATTTTTTCTCCGAATGCAGACGCTACGAAATTTTAATTACCCCTTGGCTTAATGTAAAAATAATATTGATGTATGTCTATATTCCAACCTTTTCAAGTTGGATTTAATGAAAGTCACAACTGAGATAGCAAACCAGAAAATTTTCAATTTGATACCAGAACAAGTCTAGTAGCAATTTAATTGAGTATGATATTAGCAATAATAAGTGTTTGTTTTGTCGGCCATGTTCATTTAGGAACAATGAAGACATTAGAATTGCATTCCTCAGACTGGACTTATTTTGGCCAACGATTGATTGTGGGTAAATCCCTGAGATGTGCTTTACTCATTGACTGGAGTGATTAGATTGCTGGAACAGCCTGAAAAAGCATGAAACCATGGTGACATATATGTCATCGCACCCAAGTTGCATTAAAGCAGATGTCTTGATAAGAGATCAAAGTGGGAAATCAGCCCTTGCTAAATTATTCTGGAAGTTTGCAGCACCAAAGTTGCATCATATCAGATGTCTGATAAAAAGATCAAAGTGCTTTGCTAAATTACATCTAAATGTTTACAAAGTATAATTATCTTGAATTTTTTATTCTTGTTCTTTCAGGAAATACCATTCCGCCATATTTGGAGTGGAAACCAGAATAATCTTCATTGTTCATTTAGTGTAGAATCTATAGATAGAATACAGTCCAATGTATCATGCAAAATACAGGTTTATCAAAAAGCTGTCCCCAACAATCGTCAAGTTATTCGTATTTCTTCCAATATTAAAGAGGTAAGTGAAACATTATTCTTTTTCAGAAACCATGCTCCATCCTCTCTCTCATTTCCACAGAAATATACATTAATCATGTTAACTGTCCTTATGTCTTTTGCTGATGCATGTGTATATATGCCTCATTTTTCTTTCATAAGGGTGATATCCAAAATAAAATTCTAGAACTTGTTTTTTTTTGTGGCTTGTAAGAATGTTTGTAAGTATTAAGCATGTCCTTTGGAAAAAGGACTTTCTGATCTAAAACTAACCGTTGAAACCTACATATATATTTACATGGATTTAGAAAAAATGACGGCATACATGTATCGAATGGAATTTGTGGTTTACCATAACTTTTATATTAGTATCAAAAACATGAACACAAGTACCAAAATAAATTTACTATTAACATACCAACAAAATAATCAGAGTACCTAAATATAAAAATAATAAGTAAAAACTAGTATAAGGTTTAAGTCATATGATCCCTATGATTTAAGATTTACCCCAGTCTTAAAGGTCAGTAATGGGCAGATGGTAGGACTGGCATTTCTCAGCAGACGCAATATTACCATCTGACACTAGTCTATTACAATGGTAAACCGACACTGGTCAATACCAGTACTATTCTGACATTTTGATAAGAAACTGGAATCTCAGCATATATCTAATAGGTACATGGGGTATCATGTCTTATTGTATGTAATCTTACTGGAGGAGTTAAGGTCAAATGAGAGAAATGTAAAAGAGTGGGAATATGTCAGGTTGCCATGGTCTTTGAGAAATTTCAAGTTAAAGGGACATTTTTGTGTGAATTTTTTGTCTGCCAATTGATGTTATCTCCATTACTTCTCATTCAGTTACAATTTATGCCAAATATTTGCGTCGCCTTCTTTTTAAAAACCAAGAATATCTGTTTTAGGTTTCAATATCGGGTAAAAAGCGAAAGTAAATATTGAGTTTAAAGTAATCTTCAGTATGGTTGTTAAAGATTTAATCATTAAGGAAACCTCTTGCCAATAATTAAACTTTCAAAGAAACACTTGACAAATCATTAAAACTGAGGCTAGACCCACTTTAAATCTGTTTCCTGTTAAATACATTCCACTTTTTAATTCAACCTAAGTTTCAAATGAGCATCAAAAAAATCGAATTAAAACTCACTTAATCATTTCAACTAGCATCTTGTTTATTTCAAAAAAGTTTGTCTGTCTGCCTGATTTTGTAACATAAGGCTCCAATAAGTGCCAACCACAATATTTCAAAGGAACATTGTCTTGTTCTTATAAGTAGACAATCTAAATGATGCTGACGCATTCAAAAAGATGCAGAATATCATTTGGTGTCCTTAAAAGTGGAGTTACATTGTATGGTAACTCCCAATTTTCCTGTACACAACAGTTTCTGAGAGAACCTCGAAATTTTGATCTTTAGATTGAAACTTTTATACAGCCAATGTATAACCTTGCAAATCTGCTACCTAGATTGCTCTTTTGAAAAAGTGCAATGATAATAGTTTTTTCTGTTTCTTTCAGAAATTTCCTTCCTGTGTAACACCGTCGTCAACATTAAAGGGTCGCTCTTCAACAGTAACAACCAACTCAACGGTTAGTTCTGGGTTTAGCTCAATGGTAGCCTTAGATCCTTCAGCACAAGTTTTCAGGTTAGTATTGGTTATTATCTTATCACTAAGAGAAAACAAACCGAAAGGAGAAAAGAAACTAAACTGGCAAAATAAATGAGGCTGACATGAATGGAGCCAAATACTATGGATCAAGTAAGATGGAAATGAAGGACAAAGCTGTACACATATTCACATCAAACAATCATTCAATCGACTGCAATTTCCTAATTCAGGTCAAAGGGTAGATGACATAGATGCATTTCAGATATTTCAACAATAGGTCTAAGATCTAAAGATGCAAATCAAATTTCCAATTTAAGAAATTTACATGAACAAGCAATCATTTCACTTAGACATTCAAATGTAAAAATTGAAACACATCTGATTATTTCCCTAAAGAGAATGAATCTGGTAATGATTTTAACATACAAAATAAGCCGTCTGTGTGTATGTTAATATCTTTGACTTTGGAGGCGATATTTTTTGTATTCTTTCCACCAACCATAAAGAAACACAATCTGTAATGTCAAGACCATCCCATCTTTAACATGGAGTTTTTTTCTTCAAATCGGATAGAAAAGTAAGGAATTTGACAGTCTAAGATGTTTTATAGGCTAGTTTTAACAGATGTTAAAGTCATTTTAAAGCTCACTTACACATCACCTCGGTTTTCTCAAACCTTTAATTTGAAATGATCACACAAAAAACCCTCTCTCTCTCCTATAACTGTAAACTGAAGAGATGTTAACAAGAATCCATCATTTTCTCAAAGAAGACCTTCACCAGAATTCTAACTCTTTCTTCATTATTTCTCTTCACTTAATTGGTAATGAGTTGTTTGGAGGTCATGCATTCCCCAGGCTAGTTAGGTTAAAGATTCTTTCACAGTTTGAATTCGAGTATGCTTCTGTTCTGACTTAATTTCTATCATTGCACACTGTAAGGTATTGCCTGTTAGAAGCTCAAATTAGGTTCAAACATGTCCAAAATCATTTGCCAAATCTTGTGCTGAGCTGTTTGTTATAAAAAGTTAGATATCAATAATCACTATTTCTCCTATTACAAATATATTCATAACAAAAGATAGCATAAAAAATTTTATAATACAAGAAAACTTAATCTTTGATAACAGAAAAAACACACCCTAATTCTTGCCAATATTGCCTTTCTCATGTTGACTATTATTTTCTTTTTGATAACACAGTGGCATTCCTCAGTCAAACATCCTTTTTTTACAGCTTATCTGGTCAAATTGTTTAGACTAGCTGTACAAATTATAACCTCATACTAGGTAATTATCCTCAACTTATCATTTCCTACTAACTGATAATGTTCAATATTTTTATGTTTTTATCAATATTATGTATTGCAGATTACCACCCCACATTCGACATCAGTTATGTTTATTGTTAGATCCACCCAATGCTAGAGGAAATGATTGGAGAATGTTGGCACAAGCATTAACTGTTGATAGGTAAGCCCAGAATTTCTACCATTTAATGTGGTTTTATACAAGATATATACCATAACATGTGGTTTTAAACAAGATATATACCATAACATGTGGTTTTATACAAGATATATACCATAACATGTGGTTTTATACGAGATTTATACCATAACATGTGGTTTTATACGAGATTTATACCATAACATGTGGTTTTATACAACATTTATACTATAAGATGTGGTTTTACACAACATTTATACTATAATATGTGGTTTTATACAAGATTTATACCATAACATGTGGTTTTAATACCAGATTTATATCATAACATGTGGTTTTAATACAACATTTATACCATAACATGTGTTTTTATACAAGATGATTGTATACCATAAAATGTGGTTTAATATGAGACAATACCTGGTGGACCAATTTTTGGAACTGCCCACTACTTCTGACTTTGGAAATTACCATTACATAAACAGCAATGGTCATCACCAAAAAGTCCTGCGAACTACACACTGCACGATTTTCAAATTCTTTAAGTTTTAGGTTGAAATTTTTCAAAGGATTGGAATATATCGTTATATTTTGTAGGCTAAAATCATCTTTTAAATTTTTTCAGGTATATTATTTTCTTTGCAACTAAACCAAGTCCAACAGAAAATATCTTAGATTTGTGGGAGGCGAGACATCGTGAAGAAACAGCCGTGACAGATTTAATGAACATTTTACGTGTGATGGGTCGAATGGATGCTGCATCAGTTCTAGAAAAAGACATGGGCTCGTGGTTATGATATCGTGATATTCTTGTGTGAAAACTCTTTAATTATTGTGATATATTTGCCCAAATATGGACAAAAAGGAGAGAAATATGTATGTGTTGCTTAATCAGACACCTTAGGTGCCAATCTAGTTCAAATGTTGAGAAAAATATTATATAAAGGTGCTTTAAGACTTTCAGTTTTGAGTGTGAGCGAATAAGCATCAAAGCAACGTCAAATCCTCAACATGTGCAAAAATTGTGATAAAAATGTTCCATTTGTGAACCAAACCACAAAAACTACTTTGCAAACTGTTTTCTTATGAAAGAAAAAAATCAAAATAGAAAAGTGAGATTACTTAAAAACTTTTAGGGACTCATATGAAGGGACCCTCAGTGCTAAATATGGACAGATCATGTCTTCTGCTAGGACAGATCTGCCAAGACAATTTGTGTATAAAGGGAAGTAACTCTACTTAATGTTCTCCCAGAATTATATTGGAAGAGATTTTTTCAGATATTTAATGTGCCTGTTATTTATTTTGTAAATATGAAAGAGACTTAGTGTACCTGTGTAGGGAATTGTTTTGCTATTCCTTTTCAAAACAGAAAATAAACAATTTTTGTGCTAAAATGTGAAAATGACTATGCAAAAATATGCATTCAATTTGATGTATATAGGATGTAGCCCTTTCACAACATATCAACAATTTGTATAGGATTTTGTGTTTGAAAATGATTCAGCTTAGACCAAATATGAAAATTTCGTTCAGATTGTCAACTTGCCTGTTGATTCTAATCTTATTTTTGGAAGCTAGGTTATCAAGTATGGCATTGGGTGTTCAAAGAGTAGAACTCTTCATCTGTATGCCTAGTCTACTCCAGGATCTAGAAAGTGACTAAGTGAATCAAATCATGTTCATATTCCTAGATCACCTGATACCAGTCTGCAATGAACTGTTCAGAGTAATGTTTTGCTGAAGATCTAGTCCTCCAGGGAATTTGAAGGAGGTACATTCAAGTAGCACTAAGGCTCCATTAAAAGTGCTGGAAAACGAACAAAAACAGCTTGTACTCTTGTGTTCAGCTTTGTTTCAGAAACCAGAAAGCATTTATTTATACATACATTATATAAGCTTGAGTTTATAAACATGTACAAACATTATGCAATCATGCCTTTCATAACTCATTATAAATTATAAAATATTCCTCTGTTTCTGTTATTTCCATTTGTAGCCCTAAGGCACAGGCTGAAAATAGGCCAGTTGTCCGAAGATCGCATAGCATGGAATTCTTGAGTAACAACATGATTCAAGTTCTGTTTTAATATTTCTATATTGCTCTACAATTGATATATTTAGCACTATTTTAACAGTGATAATATTTTATTATTGTAGAGATGTTATATATTAATAGACTCTCTTAAACAGATGTCGAGTTGACAGAAGATTGTGCATACCCTACCTAACTATAAACACCCATCAAACTTATTTTAGAATAGAGCTCAACAAAGAGCTCTAGAGTTTAAAGCTACTGGAATGGAGACCTCAATACAATCTTGCCCACATGCAGTCTCACTGCATGGAGACCTCAATACAATCTTGCCCACATGCAGTCTCACTGCATGGAGACCTCAATACAATCTTGCCCACATGCAGTCTCACTGCAAGTCTTTTTTATATATTGCTAAGGATGATATATACAGAGGGAATGCAAGATGATATAGACAGGGGAATGGATGGTATGAATTAAACATAGTGAATAGATGGTACAATATAAACAGGGGGAATGGGTGGATGGTATGAATTAAACAAAGGGAAAGGAGGGTGTGATATAAACAGGGATGACTTAAACAGGCGCAAGTTGTGATTTAGCAAGTTGGGGGAGGTGTGAAGTGTAAAATAAAATTTACAATTGTATGCCATTGTTAGATATCTACAATCCATAGAAATATATAATAAGGCTTTTATTTTAAATAATTATATACATAACACTTCATTCTTAGAAATATCAAGTGGAAATTATCAATATTTCGGGTAACATAATATATATTTCTGAATGTTAGGGTGAATTTTCACCAATCCAAATAATATCTATTACTACCACTATTTATGGGTTGATATTATTAATTCATACAAATATGATGAGCAAAATGGAATTCTGTAAACATTGTGAGCGGACAGTGATAATAAGTGAAGAGGATAGAATTAACCCACGCCCACACAGCAGATACTTATCAATCTAATTAATCAATATCCAAAGAATAACTCACCAATATTGGGCTATCAATCTAATCCAAATCTACTCTGACCGGAAAATAATGGTGAGTTGTGCTGAGATCTGTTCATTAGTGAAACAAGCTCACTTATCTCAATCTGCACGTGACAATGGCAGTGAACACTACTCTGGGATGTAATAAAATTAAAGGATGACAATCCAGAAATTTCAATATGAACATTTTTTGGAAATGACATCCACCAAGGACATTAAGCCAACCATAGATATCCTATATTATGATATCTATGATGCCAACATACATTACAACATGGCCAACGTCAAGGGAAGTAAGGCAGAAGCCGTTTATCGAAATGGCGCCAAGTTCATCAAACCGAATATACTCTGGATCAGATGACAAACCTTCTATCAACGTGCGTACAAAAACAGTTACCGGACTGACGGAAATTGCGTCTTCATTTTAATGTGTAGGTGTAGGAAATATTATCGTGAGAAAACTGAAGCTGACAGACTAGATAGCGTTGTTACAGCAGAGGGCTGTATGGAGAACAGAATGATGATAAAATATTAGGACAGTAGGGTACTAGCCGTCGGGTCGGGTGCCGAACTAAGGAATTAATTTGATTGTACATGAAGAAAACCCTATTCACGAATGTGATCTAATATTGTTCATGCAGATTATGGTTAAAGGTACGCTACTCTTGAAAATAGGGTTAATGGTTTGTGTTATGTTTCCAACAATATAACCATCCAGCCGTCCTCACTCTGAACTATGGTGGAACTGCGGATATACGGCGGAGCCAGGTTTACGTCCGAGAGGGGGAGGGGGAATATATCTGAGATTGCTCGAATCTCTAACATAGTTATGAGATTTTAGCTCGAAAAAACCTGCTTTCGGGACTGCAAGGGGTCCGGCTGCCCCCATTTGGCTCCGCCACTGCTTCCTCGTCTGTTTGAATGAAGGATATTGTTATTCCATCAGCGGTAACGTTGGCTACAAAAAATCCTCCATTTTTATCTCCATCTCGATAAAAGAATTGTAAAAGACCTATAGGAACAGTATGGGAATTTTCAACATAATTATGAACAATTGCAGCCGGATCACATACTATTTGCTCTTAATTCATCTCATTTGTTCTTGCCATGTGAAGATGCTGAAAAAGAAATTGGTGTTTTTCACTATCAAGAACAGGGAGCTACCAGACTGAGCATGTTCCTTTTATATATGGTTAGTGTGATCTCTGGCTCTTCAGAACGATGACCTCTTGCGTAAAACCGTTTGAGTTGCAACACGAATTACATACGTTCGACAGTGTGGCACCGCCGTCATGCCAGTTACCGATAGTACAGAGGCATCTCGGCAGTCGATAATTCCACAATAAAATCGGGAGTGATCGAAGAATATCTTGCATGTGACTGTCTGGTTATATTGCGCGTCGCGTGCGGGCTTTCCCGCTCATTTATCGCGAACATGCCTAATGGTTAAACAATAGATTTCCATGTACGACAGCTAGGAAACGATGATATTTATATTTAAAGTTGATTATGCTTCAAATAAAAAAAAATCGTTATGTAAAGATAAACCAATTTAGTTTAACATTATCCTGAGTCAGAAAGGTAAAAGACTCATTTTTGGTGAAAGAAAAACCCAAAAACATATTTACTTATCACGAGCTCTAAGGTTTTCCAAAAAAAATAATTCTTTTATATTTTTTTGGGGGGTAAATATGTTCCATGTTGATTTTTGTGGCATTGTTTATTAATCGCAAGATTTAAAATTGCAAGTGTGGTCGAGCAAGATATTTTTGCACATTTGGGTCTGATTATAAAATGTAATCACTGAAATCGTCATTTACCAACAAGAAAAAGATTTGCAAATGTTTTTATTCGTTTCAAGAATGATTCTTCGTCAAATCCTAAATATGTACGTACTGCAAATTACTAAAAATAGTTTTCTACTTTTACTTTGTTGTCATACGATGTAAATAAACATTCTTTGAAGAATTGAAGAACAAAAGGTACAGGTAATATTCTTTAGCTGAACGGGGTATGAGTAGACTTGGTCAAGAAGGGATATCTTCTTATGGCTACTTATATCTATTATCCGATTATGTAGGTCTACCAACCACAAGTGAAGGATGGGGTGGTTGATTGAATAATATCAATTTCTGAGTAATGTCTCCGTTACAGATCTAATCTACGAACATGAGCTCAGAATTCAAATTAGCAAATCTGTAACTAAATGACTGTGATCATTATTAAGAATTTGGTTTTATTTTCATTTTTGGTTTTAGAGAGAAAACAAAATGAGAGAGACAGATAAAGAAGTACATGTAATAACAGGGGGAGGTGGCTACCCTGGTTTCTGTCTTGGTAAACAATTGATACATGATGGTCATCTAGTCAGGCTATTAGATATTAGAGAACCTACTACAGATTTATTAGATGGAATGGAATTTATTAAGGTATTATATAGTGTCTGTAACCTGTAATGTGACCATTTAAATTACAGTAAATCAAGTGGTCTGAGAACGATTTCCATTTGAAACTATCCTAGACATGCTTATCTTTTGAACTCTTCTAAAAGAAGTAGAAATTGGTATTTCAATTTCAAAGTACATTTCAAGAAGGGTTTGAGACTAAAGGGATTTTTTTTTACACACTTTCTGGAGTAATATACTGTCTGTCTTTTAATTGTTATAGGGAGATATAAGAAAGTTAGAAGATGTTAATAAAGCATTTACAGACAGTAGTATTGTGTATCATATGGCATCTTTTGGTATGTCAGGCAGAGATCAGGTATGCTATTATATTATGCTATGGTCTAGTATACAGTGCGTGTTTACTGTAAAGTGTGCATCATCAACAAAGGTCCCTTGCAATACTAACAGTCCTCCTTGTAATTGATCCCTGATGGTCAATGGTGCTAAAATGGAAGACCATACTCCACAAGACAAAGTCACAATAGTCAGTGCCCTGAACAACATTTGGCACTGGGAAAAACATTTGATACTCTGAAAAACATTGAATCCCCCGAACATGATTGGCTGCTCTGAACAATATTAGGTGCCTGAACAACATTTGATGCTCTTTTAGGTGCCAAGAACTACATTTAGTTTCCTTAATACATTGGGTGCAACTAAACATATTATTTTTTTTATTCAGCTGAATAAGAAATTAATAGATGAAATTAATATTGGTGGTACAGAGAATGTTATAAAAGGTATTTACTTATGAAAAAATATACCTACTCATCTGATTGACAAGATAAGGTCCTCAAATTCTGTCAACTTGAAGACTTTTAAGAATGGATTCACCTGCAAGAAAATGACGAACAGACTTTCATCATACTAATATTAGTTATATTGCTTGGAAACTTAATTTGGAGGGAATGGATTATCGTCACTTCTACCAGTTCCTTGAGCTCGAGTCATAAACTAATTTACAAAAGAAACTTTTCACAGACTTCAGTTGACCAAACACTGTATGCTTATTGCAGAGAATAGTGGAGAATGCAATATCAGCATAACAATGCTTTTTCATTTTAAATCATGAAAATCATGGAAAGTCATTATAATTAAACATCATAAATCTCACATTGGACTGTTATTTGGTGTTTGGTCAAGTGAAGTTGGTAAAAACTGTATTTTGTCTAGTAGTTTCCTAAGTTATTAGAATAGCTTAAAGAATAAATATGATAATTAAAAGTGTTTTGTGTATTTCAGCCTGTTATGAAAACAATATCAAACGCTTAGTATTTACCAGTACTTATAATGTTGTATATGGTGGAGAAGAAATTATAAATGGTGATGAAAGTTTACCATATTTATCAGACCATAAGGTTAGTATATTATGTGAGGTTATTGTTTTTATTTACATACTTCCATACTTTGTGTTATTGATTACTGTTAACACTTTTTTCTAAGGGATTATTGAACTTCAATAATGTTGTTTACCGGTGTTAACAGTGGCAGTGCCTCTAAACTGGGGGTACAAATAGGGGGCAAACTGACTTAATTGGGGTACAACTGTCGAGGTGGAGAGGTTGAAATTCAAAATGCTGTAGCTCTGGGGAGAGCAAAAGTCCTTTGAACATCTGAAGGAATTCTCCCCAAATTTAAAAAAAAAAAAAAGAATTGATTTGGCGCATTCTGACACATATTTGTGTGGGGTAAAAGTGTATAAATATACGTTAGAAATCTGTTAGAAATGAAGTGGAGGTACAATTAGTGGGACAAACCATTTTCAAGGGGGTAAATGGGGTACACGATTTTTTACTACCGACGTTGTAATTTGATTGGTTAAAATAAATACAGAATATTAGAAATTATCAAATTATGTTTGAAATCTAGTTTACAGATCAGTATTCTAAAACCAAACGTGAAGCAGAAGAGAAGGTATTAGATGTTAATAACACAGTAACTTCAGATGGTCATACGAGGCTATATACTTGTGCCTTAAGATTAGCTGGTGTTTATGGTCCGGGTGAACAAAGACATATACCTCGAATTGTGGTATGTATTGTGGACATTTTTCAATTTCAACATTGAAACAGCTTGTGCATGTTAAAGGAATGCTACCTCTTAGGATGAACACAAAATTGAAAGTTTAAAACTTGGACATTAAGAGTATATATATTCCCTGTAAATGACAATAAACCCATAACTAAGTAATTGTTGAAAAACACTTGAGAATATTAAGCATTTTAAATAGATACCTGTAGTTAACAATGATCAACAGAATTATTGTGAATACATTTATGTTAATTTGTGTCCAAACTCTTGAGGTGGTCATAAGCAGTTGAATATCATTTAATTTGATCAGAACATTTTGTGAGAAGGAAAATTGAAATTTGATATTATTTCAGTCCTATATTGAACAAGGTTTAACAGTAGTAATATATGGTGCTAAAGAGTCAAAAGTAGATTTTTTACATGTTGATAATTTAGTACAAGGTCATATATTAGCTGGACAGGCTTTATCAAAACATAAAAATCAAAAAGTGGTGAGTAAGCTTTTTATGTTTTTTCTCTGCTCTGCTCTGCTGAAATTAGAGATGAGATGAAAACTTTTCAACAGTGGAATAATCTCATTTGTTAGTTCTCAAGTCCAGTCGCTATGCAAAAAGCTAAGGAATGAAATTAGATATATTGAAATAAAAATGATTTAAAATTATCTGTTAGTGGTTGTCATAATACCAATTGCTGATATATCTTTAAGGACATTATAGAATTGACAGGAATGGTGTATGAACAAATTGCAAATATGATTTTTCTCCTGATTACATATACACATATTTTGTATTTTTAGGCTGGTCAGGTATATTTTTTATCAGATGGAAAACCAATCAATAATTTTGAGTTCTTTAGACCCTTGGTAAGTATATTTTGCAATAAGACTCATGTCACACTCTCAGACATGTAAGATCAACAGTTTGATCAGAATGATTTAGGGGACAACAAACAGGTATTGGTGTTGATATGCCAACTAGAATTTGTCTATCTATAGTGCACAACTCTCTGAATAGATACATGTGTATGATGTATTTGTCTATCTATAGTGTACAACTCTATGAATTGATACATGTGTATGATGTATTTGTCTATATAGAGTGTGAGCACAACTCTCTGATTTGATACATGTTTATGATATATTTGTCTTTTTCAGTTTGAAGATTTGGGTTATACCTATCCTAAAATACGTCTTCCTTTTAATGTTATCTTTTATATGGGTATGTATTTATTGGAATAACAAATAAATTTATGAATGTTGCCTTCAACAAAGTGATGTCACATAAGGTTAACGTCATATGCTTAAAGTTATATTACTTGGTGTTCAGGGTATATGACGTGATGTCACATAAGGTTAACGTCATATGCTTAAAGTTATATTACTTGGAGTTCATGGTATATGACACTTTATTTCATTTACACTTAGTGTTCAAAAGGTTAAGAAGTATGAGCTGTTTAGCCTGCAACACCCTGTATAGTACTTAATATGACAGAAGTGCTCAAATACAAACCTTGTACCAGTATACGTTATGTGTAATGGATGAATTGTCTAATGATATACATATATTTTTGTAATCCCATTTCAGCCTTTCTGATAGAAATAATACACAGTATTGTTGGTAGATTTTATAATTTTCAACCATTGCTCACAAGAACAGAGGTAGATTTATTTTTATACTAAGTTTGGGCATATATTGTGATAATATTGACTATTAGTCGGTCTGTCTGTTCCTATTTAGCTCATGTTCATTTTTGACGATACAAATTTGCAGGGATAATGCCTTTTCATTTGCATAATGATTGAACAGTACGGGAATTGATAAGCAACATTTTCGTCTCAATTTTGATCTAACAAGTTTTCAACCTCATTCCCGTTCTAATGACCTTATTTTTGACCAATGAAGTGTGTAATTGTTGGATATTGAAAGCTAAAGTAGAGCAATATGACAGCCATTTTGGATTTCACTTGACCACAATTCGTTATAAATGGTTATATTTTCAGATAAATGTTTTTTTTTTTTTTGTAGGTATATAAAACGGGGATAACACATTATTTCAGTATTAATAAAGCTAGTGAAGAATTAGGATATAAACCAACAGTACAGAATGATTTATCACAAGTTGTGAAATACTATCAAAAAATAGGACGCGTTAAACAACCAAAATCTTCTAAAACATTGAAATACTATTTTGTTAATTTGATAATATTTTTCATTATATTTTCAATTATTATGTCTTTTTTACCAACTGCAACTGGTCCATATATGAGGTAATTTAATTTGATATAGTCCATTAACTATTTATTTTCTATGATTCAATATTCTACATTCACTGGTTTATAAATTTTTTAATGTTGTATGTATCTTACAAATATTCAATAAAAAAATATTTTCCTGAAACAAAATATTTTCACTGTTAAAATAGTTCTCATTATATAAAGTTTAGAGGGATGAAACACTTCCATCATATGAATTACTAAGAGTTGTAATACATGTATGTAATTTTACTAGTACTCTAAACACACTTCTCGCCTTTCACATAAAATGATGAACTGGCAGTACTTCTTACTGTGAATATTTCGCTCCAGAAAATAATTAGCATTATGTGGTTCAGAAAACTTTTGATTGGTGAAAGCTTGAGTTTATATTAGAAAACAAATTTATTTTGATAAAAGTAATCTAAAATGACAGATAAAACAGAAAAATCTTACCTGTTACATTTACACGGGTATTACATGATAGGTCATTTACAAAACTTCTGGCTGCAAATTCACTTTGTTTTACTGCAAAGCATATACAATATGAGAAATATTGTTAAATTGCAGTGATTTTTCAATATCAATAAATGAAGTAGGGTGTGCAGTGTGGTGTACAGTGAGGGCATTGGCATCATCAATTGGAAGTGCAGGGGACATTTGCTCAGGTACATATACCAACCATCTAGTGGCAAAAATACAGTTGCTTGCATGTGAGTCCAAGTGATGAATGATTTCAAAGTAGTTAGAGGTGTGCACATATTGACAAAAATATTTCTTGCAGTAAAGGGAAATCCAAATAATAACAACTTTGCCAGTTGCCATGGAAAATCCATCTACATCATGGATTGGCAATTGAAAAAAGATAACAAATAATATAAAGATAACTAATAATTGTTATTTACAAAGAACACAACAATATTACTTTCTACAATCTTATTATTTCATTATAACACTACTGTTAACTTCATATATTCAACATATCAAAGAGTCATTGTATTTTTTTTGGCAACTTCTGTGAATTTTTGAAAACAATAACACAAGTCAGTCACTTTTGTTTTCATACAAAAAATTCAATATTGTCTTAAGCCTTAAGACAAATTTTATAAAAGAAATCGTAGCCCTGCATGTTTCCAAACGATTTCAAGTTGCAAAGGCATAAAGACAAAATACATTAATCATTTTGTTAATTGCCAACAATTTAACACTTCTGTAAAGAGAAAAAATATTTTTTCTTAAGTTCATACAGGTCACTATAAAACTTTGATATGATCTATATATGGATAGGCATAATCTGATATTAATTAAAAATAAAATTCATCTCTTAGGGTAATACATAATGCTTTTGAGGCCAGACAAATTTATTTCCTTGTTTTACAAATCCTCTTTCCTCAATATTGAAGAAATCAGAAGAAAAAAATCTGCTCTGCTGGGAAAAATAAAAAAAACCTTCATTCCAAATGAAAAAAAAAAAAATCATCATCAGAAACTCCTATTATTAATAAAATATATGATTTTTAATTAAATCAATACTGAGAATGTAAGAAAAATGAGGTCAATACTGGCTTTCATTATGTTTTTTTTTCTCCCGCCTTTTCCCACAAATTTGGTCTTAATTTTTTCTGCTCCTGCCTTTTCAGATTTTTTAAACAAAATCCATACAACAAAAAATATATTTGTCTGACCTGATGAAAATAAATTTTTTTATTTTGATCAAAAGTATTCTATACCCAATTTTCTTGTATATTGACCATTTTCAACATACGTAAAGAACAATTTCAGCAAGGTAAAATAACAATGACTACATAAAACAATAGATTAGTAAAAACTTGCTTTCTTTCCCATCAAAATAACAATCTAATATTAACATGATTACAGTAGTATGTGTAGTAGTCATAAGTAACAAATATAAATATTCATAAAATACATTCCCAACGTTATCTTCATTTACAAAATAAAACATTACAGGCAAAGAATGTAACTATGGTGGCGCTCGATTGAAGAGTTCTGTTTCTGCCAATTCTGCTCTCTATTGAATGTACGGAAGCGGAATACGTCACATTCAAAATTTCCCCATCTATATCCTTCTCCGTCATAATGAATTATATCTGCACCTACTATTTTTCTGGATTCCTGGAACACATTCTGAACTTGTTTTATTGACGTTCTGTTGTTTCCATAAATTCCGAATGTACAGAACTCGCCAATCGAGCGGCCCCTAAGTATCATGACATGATAAATAATAATAATAGACAAATTATCTTCTCATAGGATCAACCTACATCTACTCTCACTCTATATGGCATTGTAAAATATTTAAGGTTCAGCAAAACATTTCTTGGACAACTAAAATTAGGTTACAGCTGTGAACACCTGGTAACCACTCAAAACAGAACTTCTTTTTTACAACTTTTAAACTACTTGTTTGGGCTCTTTATACATTTCAAAACTATTGCATTAAAAACAATTCTCTATGACTAGATGATCTCTATGTTTTGACTCTGCATAAGTTTTCTGTGTTGTTATGACTTACATGTGAGTTTTCTGTGTTGTTATGACTTGCATGTCAGTTTTCTGTATTGTTATGACTTACATGTCAGTTTTCTGTGTTGTTATGACTTGCATGTCAGTTTTCTGTGTTGTTATGACTTACATGTCAGTTTTCTGTGTTGTCATGACTTACATGTCAGTTTTCTGTGTTGTTATGACTTACATGTCAGTTTTCTATGCTGTTATGACTTACATGTCAGTTTTCTGTGTTTTAATGACTTACATGTCAGTTTTCTGTGTTGTTATGACTTACATGTTAATTTTCTGTGTTACCATGACTTCATGTCAGATTTCTGTGTTGTCATGACTTACATGTCAGATCTCTATGTTTTGACTCTGCATAAGTTTTCTGTGTTGTTATGACTTACTTTCTACTTTAGATTAACACCAAAGACTGACAAAATTGTGCAATGAATTGAATTATTGCAAGACAACAGAATTGTTAAACTGAAACTTTGTAGAACAAAAATGAATTATTAGCAAAATTGTTCTATCAAATATATTAGTACATAACTGGATTATGTGTAATTTCAAATGATTACTTACTTACTATAAAACATATCCGCTTGATTGACTAACAAAAGAACAAATTTAAACTTTGGGATTAACAAAGAAATATAATTTTTAGCTTACTGATAACTGACATTACTGAATATAGAACATTAGGCCTACTTGTATGTTGAAATAATGTCAAGATCGTAAAATGCGTAAACAATTGTGGGTGTAGGACCAATACAATTAATCAAATGCTAACATTACTTACTTACTGGATTACAAAATGAACATTCCGAAACGAGAAGTAAGAAAATGGGAGCATAACTGAATTGTGAACATATCAATTTGTTAGATAACAAGGGAACATAACTGAATTGTGAACATATCAATTTGTTGGATAACAAGGGAACTTTACTGAATTGTGAACATATCAATTTTTTGGATTACAAAGTGAACATAAGTGAACATTAATTGTTGGATTAAGAAAAAAGGTATCATAACTGCATTGTGAATATATCAAATGGTAACATAACTGCATTGTGAATATATCAAATGGTAACATAACTGTATTGTGAATATATCAAATTAGTGGATAACAAAAGAACATAACTGAATAATTGGATGGAAATGATTTAAATTGAAATTTAATGGACAGTACATTGTATATTATTGCAGCAGTATAATAGATGATGTTTAACATATCTAACACATAATCAAAAAAATAAATACATGTTCACATAAAAAAAAAATATGATTATTTACTTAAATGGATAATTCAAATAGGTAATTCAAGGCTACATGTGAAATTTGAAGATTAATAATTTACCATTCTAAATTAAAAGCAATGGGTACTAGTTGTACTGAAACTTAAATGACAAAGGCTAAATATTATATTGCTTTAAATGGTTTATCAAAAGTGTTAAAACACCATAAGAGCTGTCTTTATTATGGGTTTCCTCAAGAACACACTCTCATGCCATGAAAAGGAAATTTTTGAGGGAGCATCAATACATAATGTTCCAATTATTTTCTACAAAATAACAGACAGTAATTTAGATCCTCAACTTACTTTAAAGACACACAAAAGTTATAGTCTACAAGTATCTCATATATAATCTTACTGATGTATACGAAGTTACGAGCTGGCAATATATTCCTTCAATGTGATACCCTGATATTTAAATATTAAAATATTTCTAAAGGAATGTTCAACAAAATGACGCAATATTTGGTGGCGTGGACTAGTATTTTGATCTAAGATATAACACTTCATTCACAACCAAATACCAAACTTGGTAATTTTGCTGAACATTTCCTTTAATTTCTATAATAATTTGGATAAAATGAGGCATTTACATAGTTACATTACTGAGAAGTCACTCATTGTTCACTCTATCTTCAGTACTTAGCGGATAATATAAAAACATTTGAGCAGTTTCAATACACTCACACAGACAATGATACATAACTATTATACTGAGAGATATTTCTTTTTAATATATCACCGCACGGACCCAATACACGTTCAAACCTGGCTCGATCTAACTTGACACATTTTAATTGACTTCTAGCTACCACTGTGGCTGCCCTGGGTCTATCTAGTAAAAGTGCTATTTCTCCTGAAAAATGAACAATATTTACCATACGAAAATGGAAACAAACAAATTTGATATGAGTAGTACTGAAACAATTATTAACAGTGTGGTACAGATATGGCAATTTTGGAATATAAGATGGAAGAGGATCTATCTGATGGTCTTGAATAGCCAAATAATTTTCTTCTGTTAATCTTCTGAAGACACTAATTCATCATTGAACTTAACAAAGATCTCAATTTTTGCAAGGCCAAGGTCTGTAGCTTAGCAACCTCTCACAGTATGTCACACAAAATTAAACTGATATGAGATCTCTTCATTTAGCTTCTTCATTGAATTCATTTAAATATTATAATATTGTATAATGTAATATTTTTTTCACATTATAATTCAGGAACAACTTACCAAAATAATCAGAGGTTCCTAATCGGCCCACTTCAACTGGTTCCTCATTTTCAGATCTTCTTTGTAAAACAGCTGCAGTACCCTGTTATAAATAAATGTGTAAGAGAAATGAAATAAAAGTTTTATATCCTACTGCGGTTATATATAGAAATAGAAAGTAAAATTTCTAGTTTAAGGTGTTTTTGAAGGAATTTTACGATTTTTGTATGGTACTACTTAGCTACTTCTGAATACTATTTACATATATTCAAGACCAACATTCAAATTAAAATAAGACCAAACTTTCGTTCCATTTTCTATAAGCTTTTATCTTTAATATAGCAACTTCAGTTATGTCTGAAGACTGGTCTGTTAAACATTCGTCAAAATAACCTTTTGACCTAATCTGATGACATCTGCTTTAATCAAATTCTTCATTCTCTCACAAAATGCTAGCGTTGGAGAGAATTTTGAAATTTGACTGGTTAGGTCAAATTATTTTGATGAATGTTTAAGAGGCCAGTCTATAGACCCCAACTGAAGTGGCTATATTAAAATAAAAGGTAACTATAATAAAACAGAACGAAAGTTTGGTCTTATTCTAATTAGACTGCAAGATAAAAAATTGGCTTTAAGAATAAATCAAATTGGCTGGCTCTTTTACTGATCTGAACTGTCAATTTTTCCCACTTAGTCTAAGCTTCAAAACCATTATTGGCATTCTCCATGCTTATGTAAAAGATATAATGATTCTTTAAGTGATATTGTCATGCAAGAATTTTTAAAACTGTCTGCATACAGTCAATCGTAACAAGAGATAACTTACTTCTAATATGATAAAGAAATCTTCTCCAGGTTCACCCTGTGTTACTATAACCTGACCTTCTTCAAATTGAACAGGTTCTAACGCATCAGACACTGTTAATCTTTCCCATTTATCTAGATTCTCTATAATTAGAAATAACATAGTTCATTAATTACAATTAGAACTATTACCATACTCAATTTGAATTCTCTAGGGTCATTCTAGTTGTGCATTTTTTTAAAATGGATTTTTACATCCTATTTTTTTCCTCTTGATTTAACCATGTCATACAGAATGTAATGAAGGAAGAATTTCTAAGACAACATAATTATCTACCAAATCTTTGATTTTCATCAGTCACAATATCTTTAGAATTCATAACTTGTAGCATATAGGGCCTTATCTCACTCATATTGAAAAAGTTATTAAAACTCACCAAGAATTGAAACTTTAGTCAAGAACTCTTCATACATTTTTCTTTTCCTTATTGTGCTACCCTAAAAAACATAAATATTGAAATGCAACATTCACAATAAAAATTGAGGACTTTATGTTAAATTGATAAATAAACAACCATAAATCTATGCAATGAACCTTTCCACGAACAACATTTTGACAAAAACAGGTGAACTGCAATACTGTGAAAGCTTTCCGTCTGCTCACACATGTGAGTCACAACACTTACCATAAGAATACGTCTGTAACTGTCTCTATCTATACCCCATAACTTTACATCATTTTTGGCCTGTAAGAATAACATAATAATATTTAGGTTACAAAACATTCTTCCAGTATGAGTTGGAAACTAATGTGTTTTTACTATTCTTCTGTTGATTGGCCTAAAACTCACTACTGACTGAGATATTTCACAATAAAAAAATGCTGTTTTCTCTGTCAGCCTTCACAGTTCAAAAGGTGTTCAACAATTCAAAAAGAAATTTGGATCTTACTTTAACGGTAGCTGCTCTAGGTGTTCCATAAATTAAAGCTAATTCACCAAAACTAGCTCCTTCACCAATAGTTGATACATGGTCATTATTTACATATATCTGTAAAAGTAACAATCAAATGGTTATTATTTATATAAAAACAAACAGACTGCATATACTTCATGAAATACCTGTATTAATATATTCTTCCACAAGCACTATTTTTCTTAGAAAATGCTTGGAAAGGAACTGTTTATAGTCAAATTCTATTTATCTAGCTATTCAGAATGCCGTCTGCGTTCTTGTACTAATAAAAATGAAGTAACCAAGCCCTACCATCTGATCTCAAGCCTGATTAACACAATATGGAAGAACACAAAAATCCCCGAAATACTTACATCAACATCACCCTGATCTATTACATAGAAATTATCTCCTTCATCACCTGAAATATAGGATTAATACAATTAACATAAACATCATCATGATCTATAACATAGAAATTATTTCCTTCATCAACTGAAATATGGGATTAGTACATTTAACATAAACATCACCCTGATCTATAACAAAGAATTATCTCCTTCATCACCTGAAATATAGGATAATACATTTAAACATAAACACCAGATTGATCTATAACATAGAAATTATCTCCTTCATCACCTGAAATATAGGATAATACATTTAAACATAAACACCAGATTGATCTATAACATAGAAATTATCTCCTTCATCACCTGAAATATAGGATTAATACAACTAACATAAACATCACCCTGATCTATAACATAGAAATTATCTCCTTCATCACCTAAAATATAGGATTAATACAATTAACATAAACATCACTCTGATCTATAACATAGAAATTATCTCCTTCATCACCTGAAATATAGGATTAATATAATCAACATCAACATCACCCTGATCTATAACATAGAAATTATCTCCTTCATCACCTGAAATATAGGATAATACATTTAAACATAAACACCAGATTGATCTATAACATAGAAATTATCTCCTTCATCACCTGAAATATAGGATTAATACAACTAACATAAACATCACCCTGATCTATAACATAGAAATTATCTCCTTCATCACCTGAAATATAGGATTAATACAATTAACATAAACATCACTCTGATCTATAACATAGAAATTATCTCCTTCATCACCTGAAATATAGGATTAATATAATCAACATCAACATCACCCTGATCTATAACATAGAAATTATCTCCTTCATCACCTGAAATATGTGAGAAGTAAAATAAACATTTAACATAATGACCATTTGAGAAATTCAATATAACAGCATGGATAGTCTAAACCTTGCTCAAACTTGCTGGAACTAAGCCCTAAAAGGACAATACTGCAGTAAATTTGACTTAGAAAAAAGTTGATTTATAATACATATGATACATTATACTCTGTTAAAAAGAAGCATAAGTCTACGAAAATATCAAAGAAAGGTGTCATCTAAAAATTGTGTGTAAACATCTTTTTTCACAAGGACTCATTTTTTCCCTAGAGATAATAAAACCAAAACTTTTTTTGAGGTAAATTAACATTTTTGGTCAGAATTGTTACAATAACAATGACAATAAAACTAAGCTTGTTACAAAATTTTGCCTTTGAATTCACTGAGAAAGGCCAGTAAACACCTTAGTTCTTAATTTTCAAAGGCTTTTTCGCAAACTTCAAATCGAAAGATTGCCAATTATGAAGAGAAGTATTATCAAAATATAAGGTTGAAAACTATTATTTGTTTATGATATGAGTTATGATATTAATAAGATTGAAGAAAAAGGTCAAGGTAATTATGATAAGATGGTATGATCAATAGACACCACCTGATAACCATCTTTATAAAAATAATCTTGTCTAATAACAGACTCTAACTGTCAGGTACAATATCTACACGAATACAAATTGACAACACTGAGCAATCATATATTATATCACATGTTATTAATATCTTTATTACCAGCTGATCCCATTTCAAACTTCTTGATTGGCCTTGGATTAACAGGAAAGATGACCTATTCAAAACTGTAGTCTCTATTGTGTTCACAAACAAATTTTGGCGCATTTTTCATAAGTCAAGGGCAATAACTCGAAAAACCGTTCATCGAAAGATCATCAAATTTGAACTTGTCCAAGATCTCATGAATATAACTGATCACACCAAATTTCATTCAACTATTGTCTCTATTGCATTCACAAGCAAATTGTGGACGGGCAGACCTTCGGACGGACAGGGGCAACAACAATATACAACCACACTATAATGTGGGCGTATAAAAACGTTTGCCATAGTAATTTCAAATATTAACAGGCATCACAGACATCCAACTGAAAATTGGAATGATGCAAATAGATGCCAAAAATGTATAGCATGGAATATTTTGGAAATCTTTGCACGTATAATTTACCATGTTTTTGATTATGAGAATGTGAAAAGTGACCTTTTTATGTTGGAAGCAATTATCTCTGCTAACATATTTAATTGAACCTTCTGAAATATTTTTTTCTTTTCAACCATTCAAATTAAAATAGTGGTTTTATTCAAGTATGAATTAAATTCTTGTTCCAAGTAAATGATTTATGACTTGCTAAAAACAAACAAACTAAATTGCATATCTGATGGTTTTTTATATTAATTTAATCAGCTGTGAAACAGATGTTCATACATTTCATATAAAGATACTTTTAAATATTGATATTAATGTCAGTTCCACTTGTTTTTATATAAATGCCTTAAAGGGCTGAAGTCGTTTAAAGGGGAATTCAAGTTTTCATTATCAAAAACGTTGTAAATTGAACCTGAAAATATGTCTAAAGTATGTTATTTATATCTATAGATATATATACAATTAGCTTGTGAACGCAATAGAGACAATAGTTTTTATCTCATTTGAATGAAATTTGGTGTGATCAGTTATATTAATGAAATCTTGGACAAGTTGGAATTTGATGATCTTTCGATGAACGGTTTTCTAGTTATTGCCCTTGACTTATGAAAAACGCGCCAAAATTTGTTCGTGAACACAATAGAGACTACAGTTTTGAATAGGTCATCTTTCCTGTTAATCCAAGGCCAATCAAGAGGTTTGAAATGGGATCAGCTGGTAATAAAGATATTAATAACATGTGATATAATATATGATTGCTCAGTGTTGTCAATTTGTATTCGTGTAGATATTGTACCTGACAGTTAGAGTCTGTTATTAGACAAGACTATTTTTATAAAGATGGTCATCAGGTGGTGTCTTTTGATATAAGATATGCATAGATGCATCTTCTTGATCAAACTTAATTTGTTTTCAAAAGTTTAATTAAACGGAGATTACTAATTTGTTAATTACGCAATTTGACCTAGTTTTGGTGTTTGACTTTATAATGGCTCGATATTAGTATTTGAACCTTGAGAATTAGTTTCTCTACAATTAAGCATTTATTTTACTCAAATCCGTACAGTATTTTTTTCATACAGCTTCCAAAAAAGCATAACAAACTTAAAAACCTTACGTAATGTTTTTAAATATTTTTGACGTTTAAAAATTAACAACTGGATTCTTTTAGTTAAAACTTTCAGATACATTTAGGGCACCTTTCTCTCGATTTTTGGTGTATAGTTTTCACAAATTAGAGCAAAAACTTTCGACCTACTAAAAAAAGGTATGTCCCTTTAAAATAAAACTTGAAACTGATATTCAACCATCTAACTATTTAACAACCATTTATGTATTCTCCAATGCAGATATCATTAATTGAAAACATCTTCATGGGGGAATGTTGTTAACAGTCTGACAATCTATTTCATCATTACCATTTTATAGAATTGTAGAACAACCAGAAGTTGGGTTTTCTACAATCCAATAAATCCATAAAACAAAGTAATTATTCATTGGCCACATTTGAGAATTTAAATTAAGACATTTATATCCTTTAAATTGGTTCAAGAATTGAGTTTTTCTTTAACACTTCTGATAAATTGGATATTACTTGTGTTTTGCACCATGGCTAGTACATTCTGTATCACTTCATATAAAAATTATGTAGCAAATTTCGTGACAAAGTAGTACGGACATCCCTTTCCTATAAAAAAACTTTGTTTTGATTGGTTAAAATTCATGACCTTATACAGCAATTTTCTAGTTCACGGAAGACTTGAACCATTGAACAATGCCTATTATTATACTAAAAGTAGATATTTATTCATATACTGGTAAATGTATCATGTTATATCAATAGATTAATCGATTTCAGGGAATACTTATTTCAGGACTGGTACCATTGCTATATACAGTATATTATATAACAGAGTATGTGTATGTTTGTGTGTGTGTCTTTTCAACTAAAATCATACTAATGACTAACTAATTCTCACATAATTAATAATCTGATCTATTGCTCTGTGACCTAGGCCAGTGCTTTCATTGAGACTCGTTTCAATACATCCTACCACAGAAGTATATTGACTATAGTGTCAATTTTAACTATTAATTAAACATATACTATTTAATAACACATACCTTAAAAAATATATTATATATTATCAATAAAAAAAAACAACAACTTTTCATCAGTTAATTAATAAAAATCGTTTTAATAATTACTATCTTCTCATCTGTACAACCATTTCAAATGTCACCTTACATGTCATTTTTCACAATACTCTTTTATATGGCTCTAGAGACACAGCTTTTCAAACATGCAATGTATTTTTCACTCATGATTCCTTTACACATTGATTATTTCTTAAATCTAATTCATGTGTTCTGTTATGTTTCAGTCATAGCAATATCATCAAAAGAGGTTGTGTTTGAAGGATTATATTTGAAACTTTATGGAATAAGAATTGCAGAATGATTAATCTGACAGAAATAAACCCTTTGTGTTTTACAAAGATAAACACTTGAGTACTCTTGACAATGCTCTTTTAATAGAATATGCATACCAATGTATTGCCTGTCTAGTGGACTGTAGAACTCTTTCCATGAAAAGGTCATGATTCACCAATTTCAGAGGTTCATTTGAGTCTTGAATATATGTAAATAGTCTTCAGAAGTACCAGAACTGTACAAAAATAGCATAATTCCCTTGAAAATACCTCAAGGAATTTCACTTTTAATTTTTTTCTTTCACTAGTTTATCCTCTGCCTGAAAATTAGGGTGCCCAAAAATTGTTCATCTTGTGATAAGGTTTACTATAGGATATAAAGTGTATGGATTATTTTTGATTATCAAGTCCTTCGCTACACTACGCCACACACTAACAGATAATTATGGATAAACATGACTAAGAAGGTTAAAATTTAACCAGTAAGCTATGAACACTATTACTTATTAGCTTAGCTAAATAATTCCTGTTTCTGAGACCAAGGCACAATTGACCTTAGAAAAATGTGAACCATGGCCTTTATGTTATGAACGTAGCTAAAACCAAAAGACGCCATATTTGATTGAATCATCATTAAAAGATCACTTGATCTGTTTAAAATAAATCCCACTACCAATTTATTATGATCCAGTTGATAATGAAAACGTTAAATCTTTCATGATCTAAATTCTCATAATCCCTAGCAGTAAATTAGAATTGACTTTAAAACAATCTATTTCAGTGAATTTCAACCCAAGAAATTGACTATATCAGACCATCTTTTCTATACTAAGTGTTTTTAAAGATCAAATCTTACAGATTTCTTTAGGAAAATGTTCCAAGAAATTAATTTTGTATTTCTTTCTTTGTATTGATATACTGACTATACCTGCTAGTCATGGCCACTACTCTTGGCATTGATCTTTCCTGGATTTTCTGTACCCATTTACAGCTGGGTGGACTAAAATTAAGTGTGAAGATGACTTATTCAAACCCTGACCAAGATGAGAACCATCAACAGCCATTCTTTCAACATAACCACGAAATGATATCATGTAAAGTACTAACGCTCTAAGCACTGTGCTTCTGAAGTATGCGGCAATTTATAATAGTGTACAAGTCTTAGACAATTCCAATAATTACTCTCAAGTCCTTATTATTAATTGTACACAAAAGACTGGAATGATTGTAAATTCTATATACATACAATGTAGTTCACAACAACAACTCTAATCATCCAGTCATTTCCATTACAAAAATCATCTATCAAGTCTATCCAATCAGTTGGTATAATTTGTATTGTAACGTAATCAATAAAGTACTAATGAAACACAATTTTGGATAGTTCACACAGCTACTAATGTTATTATGAGGTATATTCTCATTTTAAAGGGATTGTAAAGAGGTTTTCTAAACTTTCTATGTGTATAGGAGACACTGAAAGCATTCGCTTGCACCATTCCAATTTTCAATCAGACGTCTGTTTTTACAATTCTAATAATTCTATAAGTTTTACGTCGTCACTCTAGCAAAGGTCCTTATATATCAATAGCAGTCTTTGCGATAATGACGTCATAATACGCTTACAAAAAATATTGGAACAGCAAGAACCACAGACGTCTGATTGAAAATTGAAATGGTGCAAAATGATGCTATCAGTGTTCCCGATACACATTAAAAGTTGACAAAACCTCCTTACAATCCCTTTAAGGCTATGCACCATATCATGCAGGCAACTTTAAACAAGTTTTACCAGTTTAAATACAACATGACCTCTTCTTATTTAAGTCTAGATCTTAACATGTTTCACTAAAGAAATAACCAACATCAAAAAAATGTCTATTTTTCATGTGGTGAACACATTTAATCTAACAAATAATGCAATTTCAAGTATCAAGTGAAACTGAAATAATTTGTTTCATCATCAATGAGAAATTTGTTCACTTCTCACTCAGCCAAATCCAGGTTTTGAAATTAATATTTTCCCTGGAGAGCCAATACATCATATAATGCATGAATTTGAAAATCTCATAATGCCTTCAAATATATCTCAAACTAGAAATTTCACTTTCTATTTCAATGGGTTTCATTGGTTTCTCCTATGCCTGACTGTTTTTCACAATGTTTTATAGGAAACATGATGTGTACATGCTAAAAGTGATGTCACTTTCATTTAACTCCAAGCAAGAGACAGTAAAGGTTGTTATACAAAAACAAAATGCTCTCCCATACAGCAAAGTGTTGAGAAAAGGCAAGTTGTCAATGTTACTTTAAAACATGGATAATAATGGATGCATATGAAGACTCGAATTTTTAGGCTAAGATGTGAACACTATTAATGATTATCTTAGCTAAACAATTCCCATTTCTGAGATAAAGGTACAATTGGTCAAACAGATAGTGAACCTGTCCCTATAAAAATATATGATATTTTCTCTTGGCAAGTAGAAAAAAACTTTAAGAATTTCTAACACTGCTGAATCTTACCTTGTTGTATTATGACTTCGCCAGCGTGTCTGTGTACAGGGAACATAGCATCAAAAATATCACTGAAATTACAAAACAACGTTTTCAGGCTTACAATAAAAATGATTTGTTTGTAATGAATCATAATATAAATGATGGTGTCTAAACCATATATGACACTTTCACTGTAGATCAATCCATGACTTACTTGAAGATGATGTTTTTCATTAATATTCTCTTACAATGGAGCATGCAAAGAACAAATCTCATTTAAGATTGGAAAAGATGAGTTATGGTATTAGATGCAGTGACAGTGTTGGATTATTGATACAATAAATAATCGGGGAATTGAATACACAAAGTGCTCGAAAATTGACTTAAAGGGACAGATGCACCATTTTGAGGGGTTGATTTGAGTCTTGAAGAAAGTTCAAGAAATGTACGAAATTCTTATAATTCTTTCAAAAAACAATCTAAGAAGTTATTTTCCTATTTCTAAAGATGTCTTTTCTATATATATGGCAGTGTCTCATGCAAATGCAGATAATTAGAGTGTTGCAATCATCTGATTGGTCAATCACTAAAATTGGTTTTAGATTTTGTTTTTTATCCAATCAGATAACTGTATTTTTTAAAATCTTGATCTTAGCATTTTTAAGTTTTAGAAAATAAGTCCCCTGTTCTGGATACAATGGGGACACAAAAGGTATCTTCTATAATCTATTGTATTTGTAATCAGAGACTATACTCTGCACTTGACGCCATACCTGATCTATTTCCGTCTCTGAGTCAGAAAGAAACAATAAATTGCCATAAAAATATCATAGTTAATCTGCAAATCTATCAAAAATTCCTTAATTGATTCTGACATTACTAGCCTGATAACAGTCAAACTATATATAAAGAGGCTATAGATGAATCAGCAAGATTCTTAGTTTCGAGCTTTCCAAAATAGGATATGAACATTAATCAGCATTAATGCTAACCATTAGTAATTAGTAATCAATAGTTTGAATCAGTAATCAATAGTTTTAATAAGAAATCAATAGTTTAAATAATAATTTTGATTAGTAATGAATACTAGGTAATCAATAGTTTTAATAAGTAATTAGTTTTGAATACTAAGATATCAATAGTTTGAATTGTAATCGATAGTTTAATTAGTAATGAATACTAGGTAATCAATAGATTAATAAGTGATTAGTTTTGAATACTTATATATCAATAGTTTGAATTGTAATCAATAGTTTAATTAGTAATGAATACTAGATAATCAATAGTTTTAATAAGTAATTAGTTTTGAATACTAAGATATCAATAGTTTGAATTGTAATCAATAGTTTGAATTGTAATCAATAGTTTTAATAAGTAATTAGTTTTGAATACTAAGATATCAATAGTTTGAATTGTAATCAATAGTTTAATTAGTAATGAATACTAGGTAATCAATAGTTTAATTAGTAATGAAAACAAGATAATCAATAGTTAAATTAGTAATTAGTAAATTAGTAATTGGTAGTTTTAATAAATTACAAATATTTTCAATAAGTAATTAAAAATCAATAGTTCTAATAAGTTAAAAAAATAAATTAATAACTTACCTTCTTTCATTATCATCTAAATGAGCAAATAAAACATTCTTGGATATAGCCTTCGACAATGCAGCCATAGTTTTATAATCTTTAGGCACAACCTTTAAACAAAACATGAGTATTGCATACATAACCTTTTACAAAGAAACATTGCACGTGCATTAAAAAAATACTGTGTTATTAACTTATTGTGTGACCAAAGCAAAAAGATTTTTGAATTCGTTCAACATTTTTTAAGAATTGGAATATTAGCCTTAAAATAGTATTGTCAGTCTAAGAATGTCTTTGCGCTGATAGAAATATAATTTTTTGTAGGTTTACATTGTAAAGAAACATATTTCCCTCCTAGAAATTTCAACCCAAAATAAGTCTCAAATTTTGGCTGAAAAGTATCCTCTGTAAAAACAAATTTTGAAGACATAATGTATGTTTATATTTTTATCAATGCAAAGACTAACAGCTACTATTCTGAGGCTACTATTCCAATTCTCCTAGCTCAATGCTTTGCTCAGACAAAAAGTTTATAGCACAATATTTTTTTTTTTTGGTATTGCACATTAACAATAATTAACATATAGAAAAAAGCTAAAAAACTGTTTACTTCGCTCAGACAATTTTACTGTTACTTTACAGCATATCCTCAGAGTTTCAAGCTAGATATAAACCTAGACAAGTTGACTATTTCAGATAGTTAACAAAATACTGGTATATATGATATTATTATAAATATTCCAAATAATAAGTATGTGATCATTATGCCAATGTTCAGCTGCCTCAAAAGCGTAGCTCTGATCAACGAAAGATTCCGATGCATTTAATTACACAAGTTACACAACAATATCAAATAAAAACATCAATTATTTTATTTCTGCTGAAAATAGGAAGATAGCTAGTTTTTCATATCTTGACAAGTCACATTGACAGACCCATTTTTACTTCCTGTGCAATGTAAAATTTATATAAAAATGTCCGTTTTACTTCAATCAGCAGGAAAACACTGTGCTTCCTGTTGATGTTTTCTCATTTTACCATTGCCACCTGATTTTGATTTAATGGTTGTGACATATGTCTTTGTTTTTTTTTTATCTCTCATTTAAAAAGATAATCGGTATAGATTATTTTAAAGTGGTTTATACATGAAAATATTTGATATAATGTCACTGGTCTTAACTGCCTGTCAGAATGTCAGACTGAGAATCACAATCAACTGTACTTGCATGGTATTGATATACATTTCTTGAATTGCTGGAGAACCAAATGTCAGATATTAATTCTGATAAATGTTACTGAATCTGAAATTGGGCTGTTTCAGTTGCTACTGCAAATATCAAAGTCTAATTAGAATTAAACCAAACTTTCGTTTCGTTTTTTATTGACCTTAAGGGATATTTTTTGTGAAATGAACAAAAGGTGTATTCCAAGAAGCATTAGACTAGTTTTCAACTAAATACACCTTTTGTTTGTGTCACAAAATCTCAGCGTTGGAAAGGGAATAAATATGATTGGCTGGTGGTGTTATCAAATGGATGAATGTTCAAGAAGCCTGTTGTTAGACCCTAACTGAAGTGGCTAATTTAAAAAAAAAAGCTAATACAAAACTGAACAAAGGTTTGATCTGATTTTCATTAAACGACAAATACTATATATATATCCTAATACAAACCTTTTTAACATATTGAGCTGCATCTTCTTCTTTATAAACTTCAGCACTAACAGCACCTCGTCTTGTTCTGGGTTTCATTGGTGGATGTGGTGGTGTTATGGACACATCATCTTCTCTTTCATCACTAGGTGGTGTGGCTGATTTATGTTTCTCTTTCATTTCATCCTGAAAATACACAAAAACACTCTTTAGTTATTTTCTATTTAAACAACATATCGTTGGTGACCGCTTGAAACCTTGAATATGCCATATATGGTTATTTTCACTTTTTGGTACTGTTCGAAAGCTTAAAAAACGCAAATCATGTGATCTTATTCCTAGCTTGATTGTAAATAGCCTAAAATCACCAATTAAATAACACATATATTAACAGTCAAATTTAATTCCTCGAAAAATATTATTATACACTGTTTTCTGCATTCTATTATACAAGGTATTGAGTGAATAGGTCAGAGTACTCAAATTATTCTATTAGGTTTAAATTGTTAAAAATGATGAAAACCACATATAGCCTCAAACACATAGATAAGATTTACACCCACAAAATTAAGTCTGCACAGCCTACAAGCTAGAAATTTTAACAACTTTCAAAATAAATTTGCACTAACTTAAAAATTGTGAAATCAAACTTGCAACATTCTTTTTAATGATAATATACAAAATTTTCATTCTCTATGATAATGAGACAACTGCTGAATTTAAATATTAATAGAAACCCTTTCATGATAAAAGACATCTTTGATTGCAAACATCAATACAATTCCATGGAGAACACAGACTGAACTTAAAGAGTCCAGATAACTTAAAGGGAATCTTTTCTAAATTTTGTATCATCAATTTGCACCATTTCAATTCTAGCAGATGCCTATGGTTCCTGCAATTCCATTAAAACCAAGTGTTTGATGACATCATTAACAGCGAATTGTAATTGTAATTAAGCATATTTTGTGACAAGTGAACTTGTCTAACACTTAGTTTTGGTGGAATTGCAGGAACCACAGACGTCTGATTGAAAATTGGAATGGTGTTATCAGTGTTCCCTGATACACATAAAATTTGTAGAAAATCTCTTTACAATCCCTTTAAGATAGCAAAGCATAAAATCGTGAGTAACATAAAATTCTACATGAATTTATCAATAAAATGAGTTATTTCCAACATATTTAATCTAAACATAGCATCAAAATCTTGTAGATCACGAAATATTAATAAGTAAAAAAAACCTGCCTTTATCATATATTGAATTTTAAGATGATTTATTGCTAAAACTCTACAACAGCACCACTGTAAACAAGATCTTACTCTTCAAAAAAGAGATTGAAACAGTACAGAAGTCCTATTCTTATAAAACACATAGCTACTTCCTGCTTATATATATACACATAAGAAATTTAAAAACCCAGTATTGATCACATAAAACCTGCTTATCAGGTGATTCTGAAGAAACCTTGTGAAACACACATTGGTCTCTGAGAGACAAAGACCATTTCATCGAAAAAAACTATAAAATCATAACATGAAATTTAACCTTTAAGTTAGCATGTCTTGATCCTGTTGCCATAGAAATTTCAACAATATAATAAAAGTGTTAAATAGAACAGTAGCAGCGTTGAAAATTATCAAAAGATTTGCATATGATTAATTAATGCCAGAAAGTGTTATTAATTTGCTCTGAAATATCAGTTTGGTCTGCTAATCATGTGCACTGATGACCTTTGAACTTTTCTGAACTGCAACTGAAATGACTTAATTTCTATTGAGCTTTGTCTTTGAAGCAAAAGTTTCTTATGTAACTCATTGTCAAAAACCTAATGGTTTAGTTACATACAAGCTTTTTTTCGGGGAAATTTTGTTCTGTAGTTGTAGATTTATTTACATTCCCAAAATATCCATTAGTAGTTTTACCATTAGCCATGTTTTGCTTTACTTTTTACTTCAAAATACTTCATGCCAGTCATCTTACAATTCTTTGTCTTATCATAAGGTAAGGTTTATCTCAAAATTTGTGGAAATTCACATATTAAAATTTATTTCATTTTGCAGAAAGAAATATTCTCAGGAACTACACAGGTGCAAGTACTCAAATTTAATTCAATAATGTACAGTACATTAAATGGTGAAGGCTGGTTTTCAATTTAAAATTCATTCATTCTATAGATTTAAAGGTATAGATATTTGCATGTCTTTTAGAGAATAAAAACTCATGTCCAAAATATTAAAGATGGGTTCCCTTATTTTCAATTATGAAAATGAAAATACTAATACTTATATGAATAGAATGTAAGAGGTTTTCTAATGACTTGGAAAAATACCAGTTTGTCTCAACTGTCCATAATTTATTCATAATTAGCTAAATTAGAAGAGAATTACCAGCATAGTATAAACGTGTAGGAATCGTCAGATATTGGTTGGTGGGCACTATTGTCACCAATAAGCGCTGTTGAGAAGGTCTGGAAACTGAGAATGTCTGTAGATAAGCGTTGATTGCTTTGTACCACCTCCATGAACACAATACAAATGAAATGCACCAAACTCTGAGATTTTTATAGAAACATGCATTGGGAACACAATACTGTCAAATATGTAGCTGATTGAGTGAAACTGTTATAGAATTTGTAATTTTTGGGGACTTTTTCTCACGTTATCTTGCAAATTTTGCGGTGAACGTACATTTGTATATCCCTTGCCAGAAATCAACTTTAAAGCAGTATACGTCAATGTAATAATGTTATATATCTCTCTACTAAATACTCTTTTCCATTTTGGTCCCAGTTGAAATAAATGTTTTTTTCGCATCAGTGATCATACAATTTTACATCAAAGTATCTAAACATTTATATACTTATGGATTATTAATCAGAAATGTCTGTCACTGAAATGTCAATGAACAATACTGGATTTTTGATTGTTTCTTTACATAGTGTTCATCCCTTGATAACAATCATATTTCTACTATCTTAGATAAAGTCAGAGTTCATTATCTCATTTAATTTAAAATAACCATGAATTGTGACTTCAGTATTATATGGCGTATTAAGAGACCACTCAAGGGAAGAATCAAAAATGGTCTCTTAATAAAGGTGGTCTCTTAGAAGAGAATCAAGTCTGAATAAACATCAGAACTATTCTGCTTTGATGGCCATTTTATATCATTAGACTGATGTATTTTAATTTACAATTGAATTAATCTTTTGAAGATTAGCAAATCTCCAATAAACTGTCATCCCTATTAAACGCACTATGTGAAACCATAACCAAGTGTTATGGTCACTTAATTGACGCAATTTAATTTCATGGGAGTGTAAATACATGGTCGCTGGTCGTGTGGTTAAGGTGGTCGCTTATCAGTTGTTAATTATATAGAAAAGTTGTTAGGGGGGACTTTATTGTGGTCGCATATTGAAGGCGGTTGTTAAGTAAATGTGGTCGCATATTGAAGGAGGTAGTTAAGTAAATGTGGTCATTTTTATGTAAATGTGGTCGCATATTGAAGGTGGTTGTTAAGTGAATGTGGTTGCATATTGAAGGTGGTTGTTAAGTAAATGTGGTCGTTATTATGTAAATGTGGTCGCATATTGAAGATGGTTGTTAAGTAAATGTGGTCGTTTTTATGTAAATGTGGTCGCATATTGAAGGTGGTTGTTAAGTAAATGTGGTTGTTGTTAAGTTAATGTGGTCGCATATTGAAGGCGGTTGTTAAGTAAATGTGGTCGCATATTGAAGATGGTTGTTAAGTAAATGTGGTTGTTTTTATGTAAATGTGGTCGCATGAGCAAGATTCACTGTAAATCATTTCTCACACTGGGTTGTATCACCATTAATGTCATCAAAAATTTAATCTTTGTAATAATATATTTTCAAAATAGCATCCTTTTGATGTCCTGTTTAGCTGCTTGACCTATTTTAATTCAATTGCAGGCCTATTTGATTTTGGTTTAACTGTGAAAAGTTCAATATTTCATTAGTTCTAAGTACGGTACCTATAAGTTTTACTAGACGGTAAAATTAACTAATACAATGTCAATACTTGAAGTACTGGTGCGAAAGTGATTCAGGACATGTTTAGTTTCCCTTCTTCTATTTTCCACTGTCTATATTTCAGAACTATACACCACACTAGACATGATATCTTAAAGGAATACTACCTCTTAGAATGACATAAAATTTTAAGTCTCAAACTTGGTCTATAAGTGTATATATTCATCAGTTGGTCTTACAGGTTATATGACTAAGAAAGAGAATCTCTATAGAAGACAATATATCAATTAAACAACTTCTAAGCATGTTTCAAAATTACTTATTTTAATGAATTTTTCCTTAGTTTTATGGATTTATTGGATTATTAACTGATTCTGTTGTATAGTTAAGACACAAGGTATATTCACTGATGATGACAAAGACTCATTTTGTTTCAATTTAAAAATTTCTTATTTTTGGTCATCCTAAGAGGCAGTATAGCTTTAAATATTGCTTGCATTTTAGACGACAAAATACCTTCAAAATAAATTCACTTATATCTACAAAATATGGTAAGTAAATAACAGTAAATTGATATTCTGAATAGTCATTAGTTATGGAATATGGATGTAGTATCAGACGTCTTTTCACTTTTAAAGATTCATGAAATATTACACATAGTAAATTCTTTTGTATAAGACGTGTAATGGCTGGCCAGTCAGACGGCTAAAGAGATATTATCTGGCATCAAAACTCAGTTAGCTCAGGAGACAGACTAAAAGTCCCTAGTGACAAGTATAAGTGTTTAATAAGATCAATTGATAAAACCAATCAATAATATGAGGTAGAAAAACTATTGATTTTCGACTTTTTACTGATCCAATGGAAAGAATATTTTAAAGAAATATAGAAAAATTATACCAGAAAATATTTCTAAAATATTCTATTTACATCTATGAATCTAGTTGATTAAACTGAATTAGTTTTAAACTTAGGGTTAATTAAAAACGGAGAGTACTAATTGGTAATTAAGCAGCTTTGACTAGTTTTGGTGTTTGGCCTCATAAAGATTTGATATTATTACTTGAAACCTTTAGACTAATAGGCATCATATTTCTCTTTAATTTGGCGGGTTTTTTTTTTAAATCCATACAGTAGTTTTCTTACACCCACGAAAAAACATAACAGAGTTAAAAGTTTAC